CTGCCGTTAAGTGCCCAATGCCAGGCACAGCAGAAATATATTGAATAAGGCAGACTAATAAACATGGTTGCTACTCCGAGTTTCACGCCTTGAGTAGCAACCATGTCCCATTAGTCTGCCTTATTCAATATATGAATATATAATGTTACAATAGCATTAAAAATACATACAAAAGTACAAACATAAGGCAAGAATACTTGACTGTGTATATGTTTAATTTCCAATTTCCAAAAGATAATCTTTGTATTTGCGTTTAAATTGAGAAAGCAACTTTGACTTTTTTAAAAACTCTTTAGGCATTTTATTCCAGATTTTTGCTCTTGTGAAAGTTATTGTTTTGCGTGAAAAATTATACTTGTACACGGCAAGTGCATGTTTGTTGATGTACGAGTACTGTGACTGTGGATTACACAATGTCTGGGGTAAAAGGTTGTTGAAATATGAAAACATAAAAATTGCAATCTGTAATCTTTTTATTTCCATTTCTTCCAACATTTTGAATTTAAAAAATAAAAGATCAGTATAGTGGGGGTACTGTAAGAGTACGACTCTATTATTTTAATGAATATAATGCACAATAATTGCCCCAGATTATATTGCAGTATATGTAATATGAGATAGAATCAATATGTTGTATAATGGTAATAAAATTCTTTAGGGAATTATTTCTTTCAGTCGATTCAATACGCATTTTCTTTCCAGATTAAGTTGGCTTCAATGTTAACTCCAAGAAATTTTGTAGAGTGTTCTTGTTGTATTTTACAGTTACAAACCAAATCATTTAAGGCATTCTTACATCTTTTTCTTGTTTTTAGGTTCAGGAACAGCATATAACATGTCTTTTCATAATTCAGTGCTAATTTATTGGCAGAGAATCAATTATGAACCTTGTTTAGCTCAGTGTTAATTGCACAATTAATTTCATTGATATCATTAATAGAGATAAAAAGATTTGTATCATCAGCAAAAATGATTGAAAATAATCTTGTACTAACACAATGGAGGTCATTAACAAATATAAGAAAAAAGAGTGGAACGAGGACTGATCCCTGTGGATCCATGCCGACATGCATGGACAACTCATCCGACGTATAATCGTCAAGTGAATTGGTTTCGATTTCTATAACTTTTGAACCATATTGTAAAACAACTCCACGTATGCCGTAGTATTCAAGCTTTTGAAGTCAAATATAATGACCTCTCCAGTCAAATGATTTTGACTAACCTAAAACACTCCTAAAAAGACTTCCCTCTTTTAAAAAACTTCAGATATCTTAGTTACACATTCTATTAAAGCCATATAGATGTTAAGTGGCCTTTCCAGAAACCTAAGTGCCTTTAATTTAATATATTGAACTTGACAAGAAAGGCTATCTGTTGTAAACCAATTTACAAAAGTATTTGAAAAATAGATATAAGAGAAATGGGCCTGTAATTTTTCAACTTTTTCATTCGTTATGTTCTCCTTTTTTATAAACTGGTACATTTTTGCAGGTTAGGGGGGAAATTCCCCCTTGTGATGATAGATTGAACATATGCAATAATTTTAGGATAAAAACATCGGTTTGCTTCAATACTTTAGGATAGATACCATCACTACCAGGACTTTTGTTGTCTTCAAAAGCATTTACAATATTTAAAATACATGGAATTTAATTGTGTCTTCAGTCTTTAATTATTTTTTTTTTAAATTAACATTTGGTTCTGTCAAGCATTCAACAAATTTAGTACCTGCACTGTTAAAATATTTATTGAAATATTAACAATCTCCTGCTTATCTTCATATAGTTGGTCATCATCCTGACCATCTGTGTAGACTCACATTGAACGTACGTTATTATTGCATTTTTTCAATACTTCATTCATTGCCTTCCAACCTTCCAATTGCTATTTAAATCACCATCTAAATTTTTCAAATTTCTTCATGAAATATTTACGCTTAATCTTCCGTTTTTCTCCGCTATAACCGTACGTATTTCTGGCTTGTTTATACTTTTTTACATTTGGAATTTTTAAATATTTTTTTTAACATATTGGCGATATAAAACATATTTCCTTTTACATAATTTCTTCAGGGAAGCCATAAATATCAAGAAAGATGTCAAATCTAGTATTAACATCAGCAATACTCTCTTGTAAACTCCAGTGCTGTTCTTGTAATAACATACAGTATTGTACAATATGGCTATAATAGTATCATTTATCATAATATCATTTATCTTGTGTTTAAAAAAGTTATAGGTGAAATTCAAAGAAAATCACAAATGTCAACTAATGTATCACTAGAAACTGGTAAGCTAACAGATGGCCATCGTACAAGTTTTAGGTCAACTACATATCGGGTGATAAAATACAAATACAAATACAATCACCTCCATAGCAGCTGGGATATACGAGAGATTCACCGGAAAAATAACGATGTTTTAATGACGTCACTATATGGACCAATACAGCCCAAGCAGACGGCATCCCATAAAGAATGAACGTAATTGCAAAGCTATTATTTGTCAAATTATAATGAGTTTAGTGTATATAAATGTAATGGCATGTCAAACCATTCAAAAGGGGATATGACCCGATTCTGATAACTAAAATCTTTTGCTTGTAGTACACAGGATATGGGTTAATCAACAATCAAAGAATCCAGACTTTTAAATTGAAAACTCCCCGGAATGATACTAAGGACGTCATTTGTTCCCTCTTGGAACACCGAACATACCGCGATGTATGCAGCTGAATATACAATGGCGTCTTATTTTGTTTACAAGCGACAGATTCCTTTATTTTTGTATCGCTGCATTTGTCATCAAAATAAAACCATGCACGGGGTTTAGAGTGAGGCAATACATTTAGCCTGACGGGAGTGAAGTAAGAGACAAAAATCAAGAGAAGATGAAAACACAGGCACTGAAAATGTGTGACATTTCATGGGACATCGTCTGCTTGTGCAAATCATGTCCATACTGTGATCTCACACATCTCAGCAGCGTTCGAAGAGCTCTACAGGTGCTATGCCGGGGCTGTATTTAAGCTTTTTGTAGTTTATAATGATCATTACTTCGTATGTTTCCAAGCATTGAATTTTGATAGCCTTGTCGAATCAAAGTTTCAACTTTGCAATAATGAACATAAAATTAGTTATTAAATTCAATAAATATCTACTTTAAAGGTATAAGATTTGTTATCAGTTTTGAAAATAGAATATATGACCAGATAGATGGTCACTTATACCAGCTGTAAGGATACCATATTCCATAACGATGTCAGAACATCGAAAATAATATCGCTAGTGATTGTCCGGAAGTGTTGCAGATAATATCATTGTGTTATGCGATGATATAGAGATTAACGGGCAGAATGAATATGAAGACAAAGTATCAAGGAAACTATTGACAGATGAATTTGGTTTTAAAAGATCAATGATGAAGTCACCAAGAATAAAGCATCTCCTTTTCCCCCTTGCAACCTGTTTTAACAGTAGTTCAATACAGTTTAAACATGATGTGACTGGTTCACCATGAGACCATGAGATGTCGTTATTTTTTTGCAACGTGTTTCGATACATAAAACTTCGGTATGATTCCCCCAGATCCATTCTTCTTTGAAATTGAATGTCCAATTAATGTTTATAATATACCCAAACCTCCTCCACGTTTATCACTTCGACACTTTATTACATATTGATAATCAGGTAGTTGGAAAAAAAGTTAGGTCATCATATTTGAGCATGTTGAGTCAGACCGATGAGTGAAAACTTGTATTTAAAAGATCCTAGAAACGTTTTTACGTCATCAAAATTTGTTCTAGAGCTTCAACAATTTAAGTGGATCATACAAAAAATAGAACTGGTTTCAGCCTCATTACCTAAATAATAATATCGTCAAGTTCATGAGGAGCCAGGTACTTTGTACCATGGGTTGTCAATTTCAGAAAAATACATGTATTATTTCTGCATATTGGTAAGGTAGGACATAATAGATACACAAGTTCGAAGCTGGAAAATACTTTTTTGAAAACTTGGAATCTTGCCAATGGTACACAATCATGATAACAACAAGCACACACTATAGACAAACATAAATTATAAAAAAACATCTTTGCTACGAGTACATACAGCACAAAGTAATGATAACAAAAATTGATCGTACAGTAATATGAAAAACGAGAGTATCAAGCTCGGGGCTAGGTAATGTTTATCAAGGAAAAGGTTAGTATCTGTGTTATTATATTATAGTACACTAAGTGCAAAATGATATCCTATCTATCAGAACATGTCTAACTCTTCGACAGGTCGGATGACATTTTTCATTGTTCAACCGCCACTTGCCTTAACACGAGCAAACATTCTAACATCAAGTGTTTAGGCAGATTCTACTTTCTTGCTCTCGAGTAAACATTATAGACACAAAATGAATACAGTTAACAACTAAATTATCCACCCCCTTGTAAATTCGACGTGTTTTTCGTAACTCAAGAATGAAAGGTGGACTGGTTGAATTAGGGCCTTTGTTGAATAGATTAGAATGATGTAAGCTCTAATATTTCACATTCTCAAAAAAAAACACCATTAGGCCATTAAAGAAAATATACATGTTTAGCGTCCCCGCCCGCTTCCTTTTTTGGGGCCGCCTCTATTTTTTTTTTAAATATTTTTTTTAAAGAAAAAAAACATGAAAAACACTGCTAAAATGGATCTATTTCTGATTTAAAAAAAAAAAAAAAGTGTCGGCGGCCAATTTGAAAAATAGCCCGACTGTCAGGGAAAATGTACCAAGCAGCCATTCTGAGCGGCCATTTTGAAGCGAAAAAAAGGGCCTCCTCCTTCCTATTTTTCAAAAAAAACTGGACGCTAAACATGTTTTTTTTAATTTTATTTGGCCTTAATCTGGACAAATCAAGGGTATGAATAATTTAGTTGTTAACTGTACACCTAGATCAACGCCCGGTTTTGACCGATAACCAAATCTTCTGTGGTATTATACATATCAAATGCAATCACTTTAGTTTATCTCTGACTCAGATCCTCTCCCTGTAGATGCTTCCCTGGTTCTGTTCGGGTTCTTGTTAGCAAGGTTACATGAAGACACGGTTGATTGGTCCTGTTTCTCTGCATCTCGGCAGCAAAACATCTTCTTCCATGCTCTCTGAAACTTGACATATCGAAAGGAATAGATGATGGGGTTTATCCAGGCATTGGCGAAGGCCAGCAAAACGGTGACGTCATAAAGGATGCCTTCGAATTGGACATTTTCCTTGAGATAGTAGTTCAAGCTATAGATGTCATTGGGTGCCCAGCAGACTACGTAACTGACAAATACGATGAGGAGAGTTTCCAGGACGTTCCTTCGAGCGCGTTCCCGCAGGTTAACAGCATCGGTCTGTCCGCGTAGACCACGACGAAGATGAACAGCTATTAAGACGTACAGGATGCTTATGATGCAGATGAGACCCAAGAACTGAATACTGAATATCAACACCCCAATAATTTGTTTGAACTTCATATTAGGCCACACAAAAGTCAAGCATACCTGTCCGTCGATTCTTGTCAAGAAGAAAAAGAAAACGTTAAACAAAATCCCATATACCCACGGAATCACAGACAACGATGCCACTCGTTTTATGTTCATTCCTTGACGGTAACGTACAGGATAAGCGATGGCATAGAATCGTTCAAACGTTATCACCACAAGGTTGATTGAGCTGGCGGTTACGGTCATCCAAAATGGATACGAAGTCATCCAAAAAGCACAGATGAATTTGTTGATTAGCCCAGGTTGAGATACGGTAAGGACGCCGGGTGCGAGGTTGAGCGCAAGCAGAAAAACCGATGTCATCAGGTCGATCAAGGATTGGTTGGCGATCAGCAAGTTTGTTGCATTCCGAAGATCTTTACTGTAACCGACGACAACCAGAACGAGTCCGTTGTCGATTATACCGCATAATCCAAATGCTATGAAAACTGTAGTCGATATGATAGAAGACGATTGAGACGATCCATCGCTACTTGATTCCGTTGACAAATTCATATCTTAATCAGCCAAGAAAAATTTATTGCCGGGAATCAATGTATGAGACTACAAAATAATTTCAAGAAATATTACAGATCTCTCAACTAACTTACGACCGTCATCGATGTGATCGTTCGCGATGTGCGGTAGTTTTTTCTAAGCAGAGCCTTTTTAAACTAAACGATCGCGTCTGTAATTTCCTGTATGAAGTCAGTTTGAGCATGCGACGAGATTTTAATCAATTACCAATTAAGTGCCCCCGAGTCCGGCGGGATCAACACTTTTGTATTGCTTTTTTCAAAATGTTGACATGTCCTGATCCCAATATTCCAACAATTCGCTTTATTTCTTTTTTTTTTTTCTTTTTTTTTTTACTCCTTCCCACAATTTCATACCCTTTTATGGCCCTCATTATAATAAATATCTCGAAGCGCATTTTCCGCAGTAATCGTATCGGTCAATAAACCTATAGACGTCATTCTTTCGTTATTGATTTTCCTTAAAGGGGAAGTCCACCCTGATATTAAATTGGTGTTAATAGAAGCAGAAACATTAGGGAAACAATGCAGTGAAAATTTGAGAAAAATCGGACAACAAATAGGAAAGTAATGAATCTTTCAAAATTATGAAAATCGTGGAGCCTTTGAAACAATTTGGCAGTTTGTTATCCGTGATATTATGATCGAGATATAAGCATGAAGAAAATATATCTTTTGATCAAAATGGAATTTATTGACATTTCTTGCATTACAAAAAGGATCATATGAGGGGGAGACAACTGGGAGACAACATATTTAGAGACCTCGTTGCCAAGAATATTAGACTCATTCAAAGTATTCGAAGTATTTCATGAAAAGTTATAAATCCATAACTTTTTAATTGATCGTCAGATTCTCCTCAAACCTTCATTGATCTGTTCTTCTTTTTAATTAAAACAAACTTATAATCAGGGTAGACTTCGCCTTTAACTGGATTTGACAACGCACACTGAAAGTTCTGACACTTTTGATTATGTAGATATTCAAAATTATGATGTACTTTGGAGAATTATAAACACTTGACCCACAGCACTCGATTGAAATATAACCCTTCAACCTTTGACAAGTTTGGACAAGTGTTAAATTCTCTTCGAACAGATTAAATAAAAATTGTGTACTGTCGACTCACATGGATGAATGATTGAGTGAATTATGTTTGCTTAGAGCAAATAAGACAAGTCATGAAGACTTTATTCTCATCGGTTATTCATTCATGTAAAAAATTACGTGAACTGGCGTAAACTGACAGGTATTCTGAAATTTGGCGGAAAGAGATTAAAATAATAAACAGTGGATAAGAGTTTCTATGACGCTGAACGCTACCGGTCATGACATTTTCTGTAACCGTTTGACATACATGACGACAGCGGGACTTGGTTTTTGATAATAATTAACGCTTGCTTGAAGAACAAGATTTTCCGGGAAAGCTTAAAAAGAAAACGAAGTCAAGGGGCTGTTTTTTGAAAACCGTCATAAGTCTAACTTCTTTGATATCCCTTGAAGCGTGTGTTATAAAATATTTCAACGGGATGACCACGAAGTTAGAACCATGAGATTTCAAAAACTGGCCTCTAGACTCGATAGTAATTATTTGAGCTTACAAAATATACTCCGGAAACGAGATTGCCTATAATTTTTATCTGGAATTTGAAATCGCATCTACAATTATTCTGATTGCAATTTTGTTCCCGCTATTGTATATAAAGACTGTAACAAAAAAATCTCGGTCGCTTCGATCACTCGCAGTAATTAATAGAAACAGGAATTTAGTGAGTAAATAATAACCGACTAGTCCGGCGATGGCGGATGGGGCAAACTGTCATTACAGGTGTGATTTCGGGGCCACTATCTTTTTTTCCCTTTTTTTTCTTTATGTGTTTTATTGAACAATCAAAAAACAATCACAATATTTACAAGTCATTATAAAAAGATTACAAAAAAGCAGTAAAACGCAGATCAAAACCTCACGAAAAGTAAATTTACACTAAGATGCAGACAATTACATGCACATGTACCGATACAACATTATAAAACAGCATTATAAAACAAACTTCCATTTTTTTTAAGTGCATCGGGGCCACTATCTGATATGATAGCGCAGGGCATGACTGTATCTGTATAACGGAATGGCACAAAACATTGTTTTTCCATTATTTGCTTGTTATAAATATTAGATCAATTGACTAAAAATTGTATTATCAATAGCCGATCGCTATGGTTTAGTTCTTACCCATAGGTTTCATATAATAAACAGACCCCCCCCCCCCCCCCCCAAAAAAAAAAAAAAAAAAAAAATTAAAACAAATAGAACACTTTCAATAAATGCGGGGCCTTGAACCATCATGCATGGCCCTACAGAGGTATTTTTTTCCTGTTAGGGACCGGGGCAAAATGCAATGAATTATTGATAATTTATTGCATTTTTGTTTGTATTTGTGGGGGCGGCGACATACCCTAGCCCCCGCTGCGTACAGTCATGATTCAGTGGCTAAGCAATGGCCTCGTTACCATGAGGCCCCAGGATAAAAACCGTGTCGATCAGCTATATTAGTGCTCTTTTGTGAGGCATTAATCCTCATTACTGTCAGTTGATTAGCATAGTAGCACACACATGCTTTAGCAAGTCACGTGAAGAAAAAATGGGATGGTTGCACTGATTTTATTTTTTGTTGGCTTAAAAAAATGGTAATTCGCCTCAACCGCCTGAGCTTTGGGCAAGCTGTAATATACGTCAGCTTGTAGTAAAACATAACATTTCAAACACTTTTTTTTTCCGGGCGTTTTTAATGCTAATAGTTTTGGGAAATTTTGAAAATTGGATGAATAGTAAATTGGATGCCCCTGCTGATGTATTAACTATTATAATCACTAGAAAATTTAACCCCTGAAAAAACCTCTGCTTTCGAGAAATTGAATAATCAAAATTTTGCCGGTGCTCCCGGTAAATATTAAATATTTCAAATAGAAGCTGCAACCATTAAAATATCAGAATATGCAGTTCTGATATATAATTTCCAAACGGGAATAGCAAGTCGGTCGATTGTAGTCAAGAAACATTGTTTTAAAGCTAAAGTAATACCAGTCTTGAGAGGGGGCTATACAACACTAAGAGTTCATTATTTACAATTTCATAACTTTAGACTCGATTTCAACCGCGACAACGACCACCGAAATATTGTAAAATTCGCATATGCTTCCAATATGTTCATTTGAACCGAATTCATGACCCAAAACTTTGTATTACCTTTAAGCACAGATATGAAATTGTATATATAAAGTTTAAAACGCAGTCTCAACAAATTTGATTTCCTACAAAATGCACCTTAATTTAAAACAAAGGCCCCTCCATCCCGCTGTTACCAGTGAATCTGATGATATAAACCCCACATTGGAAGTATGCTAGTCTTTTTTTTTGGGGGGGGGGGCACCCTGTATGACTGATATAATTAGAACTCAGTAATTAAACCGTTGTAACGAAGGATTCCATCACAGACTTCTGTTATTATGTATTGACCCCCTCCCCCCTCCCCCCATTGATCATTGTAAACGACCCTGACCACTTCTTCATCTATCCAACAGATCCCTATTATAAACTAATGATTTATATGGTTCAAAACCTTCAAGATCTTTATTTAACATACATAAAGTATAAGAATGGGCACATGTTCGCTATGTTTGGGTTTGATAGTGTCTTATTTCTCCCTGACCCCCAAAAGTACAAGGTGGTATTGCGAGGACGAATACACTGCCACCGGGTGAGAATAATTCTGAGAACTTATCCATGATATAAAATCGAGTATTATATACACAGAAGCGGATCTAGAGGGGGGGTTGGGGGGGGGGGGGTTGCAACCCCCCCCCCAAAAAAAAATCCGGGGACCATTTTTTTAAATCTTATCTTTTTTTTTAAACTTGTAATTTTATTTTATTCTATTTCTATGTATTTATTTCATTTATTATTATTATTATTATTATTATTATTATTATTATTATTATTATTATTATTATTATTATTATTATTATTATCATTATTATTATTATTTCTTTTTGGGGGGAGGGGGGGGGGGGGTTGGGCGAACAAATGTCACAGAGTCCCTTGCCCCCCCCCCCCCCCCATCAGCTTTTTTGAGGACACGGGCCACCGCCGAAGTGACAAGCTAGGCCAGCGTTGCCGATTCTCATCCCCAAAATCCCCACATTAAAAAAAAAAAAAAAAAATTGGGGGATTGTTGAAGTCTTTGGGGATGAAAAATAAATATTTGGGAATGAAAATAATATTGAGTTTTATGAAAAACGAATTTGGGGATTTTCTGTCAAAATTTGGCAACTTTGGGGATATTTTAAGTGTCGTTTGGGTGGGGATTTTGAGAAGATTTAACCTGGCAACGCACGCTGAGCTGGGCTGCTCATTTCCTGGATTACTTGTTCAAGTTGCTCACTTTTTTTATCAGTCTGGTCTGAGTGTAGTGACAAGCAATATGGAAGCAAACAGACCCCCCTTGGGCGGCCCAAAAAACAAAAAAACAAAAAGGGGGAAAAAAAAGAAGAAAAAAAAGAAAAAAAAAAAAAAAAAAAACGCACGCTGGAGAGAAACCCTTTCAAGTGCAAATATTGTGAAAAGATATTCAACTCATCTGGTAACTTAACCAAACACATGATAACTCTGGATATAACTGTGTATTTAACTGTTACTTGATTTAAAAAGACGTTATCATGCACTGCTTTTTATGGTCTCCATTGTGTTAATAGATGCCAGGAAAACATCACTTACGGGGTTCAAATAAACACCCCTAAAAAAATCGGTTCGCCGCTTCGCGGCTCGTGGACGATGCTCCGCATCGTCATTATTGGTCAACCCCCCCCCCCCCCTTAGCAAAAAGCTAGATCCGCCCCTGTGGAATAATATCTCCTTTCAAGAGTCGGTTTAAAATAATTACTTTCGTGCTCAAGCTTTGTCAGGGGAGGGGCAACTGATTTCCTCCTTTGAGTATCGCTCTGTGCTCTAGTCTAGGTTGCACAAACACGACCATTTCAAAGCCTCAAACTCTGAAAAAAGTGTGCAAAATCCAGCATTTTTTGTATTGTTGTCAATCATAAGTGTCGGGGGGGGGGGGGGGGGGGCTGGTGGGGATTGGGGTTAGGCGGTGTCCCTCAAACCGTTCGACGTTAATCACCAAACACCTGAATAAAAGACTATGCGATAATTCGGATGAATATCTGCGCCCGTGCAAAAGTCAAGAGGAGAAATGGTCTCCGTGAAGCGAGGTATTTCCCTTTGAATCTTGTCTTATTCAGAGAAGAAAGTAAAATCAGGATGATACGACTGTTATCTGGGACATTTGGGTGAGTCGTTTTCTACATTTTTGTGTAATATTTACGTACATGAATGTGTGTAATCTATTCAATCGTGAGTGTCATTATAATATTTTGTGCGGTGTCTCGTCAACTCATGTCCCCGTAGTTTCCCGTGAGTGGAGGGCTTCGTCTCTCGCTGCTGTTCTTTATACAGCATGATTTTATATGTGTGGGGCCCTGTCATTGGGAGCCATGACATGACCATGGATTAACGTTAGACTTATTCAGTGTGATGTTGGGAGTGTCTTGTGAAAAGCTATTTATATATCTGAATTTAATGGCTGATGGTCTGTGGAGGTCAAAAAGACAAAATGTGGGTAAATTTATGACTATGGTGCAAGACCCGGAAGCTGGGACATCCCCCCCCCCCCTTGAAGTTAGACCTGGAAGCTTGGCAGCTGGAGACGGCTTTCTTCCAGAAGCTTTGGTATTCAAGGTATTCAAGGTATAACATTGTCTTACTAGATCTAGATCATAGATCTAACGTTAGATCTAACAGTTAGATCTAGATAAAGGAGCCCGAAAAGACAGGTGAATAAAATGTAAAGAAACTAGTAACTAGGGTCTAACTTCTAAGTTTTATGTTATGTTATGGGTGATGGCTACCTGAGCTGAAGGTGAGATGCAGGGGCCTGTTCTTAGAAACCAACGACAAGACAGTCATAACTTTATCCGCCAACTACGGAGATCTATGTCTCCTATCTTCGTAAAATGTTTTACAAAGAGCTTACTAGCTAGTATCTTGTGAAATCGATACTATCGGCGAGTAAAAAGTGCCAAGCCATAGCCTTAGTCACAATACCACCGGATTATTAAAAAAGTAAAAGTAGGAAAAATACTGTTATTTAAATGAATTAGGAATAAAAAAAGATTGAAAATGATACAAGGAAATAAGAGATGCAATATACTTCAAAATCTGAGTAGATTATACAATAGAAGTACCTGTAAAATAAAATTGTGAGTATTTCATTACATGACCGGTGAATCAGTTTTGTTCTTGAGATACCCCCCGGATATTTTCATTTTACTTTTTATAAAAATACACCAATATATTATTCTTTAAAAAATATGATGTAATGAAACTTGTGTCCAATGTTTCAGGCGTCAGCTCATTATCAAAATTACAAAATTTCAACATTCCAAATGTTAAAACATATGTTTAAACTATTCAGTTTACACATTTGAAGATAGAATTTACCTCAAAATTAATGTAGGTCTGAAAACTAGAGAATACACTTCTAGCTATGGCTTGCCTACCGTAGCAGATTACCCATCCCTTCGAGGATTTTACAATATGGAATTAAACGCGTATAATCAGTTTATAAAAGTGGGAAAAGCCTTAGATATAAACATGGCATATTTTAACAAGATTTCAAATATATAAACCATAACTCCCTGTTTAAGTGAATGTTTAGAATGATCATAGCTGGAGGACTTATTGTCATTTTTTGCCCGCCATAGTCTACCCAATAAATTACATGTGATGCGCTGCCCTCAGCGCCATCACATGGCGCTGCCCATCGACTAAAAAGTTATGACACTGAGAGATAGGACGGTGTCGGAGGTGTCATAACTCCTTAGCCAGGATATTGTCGTTGATCTTGGCAAAGAGGGCTTCGTGAAACACGTAGCGGACAAGTAGCTCACTAATGCTGATTTAGTCAAGAAGTTAGACTTATGACGGTTTCGAGGAACAGACCCCTGTTGACTTTGAATTTACCTTGATGTTGGGCTTCAAGTATAATTACTTATGCCCCTCTGCAGCAGGATTAATGTATGTATGTACTGGGGATTGCGCCTATGTTGAAGCTTCGGACAATGCAATAGCAAGGAAACATTTCTTTAGGGTTGTACATGTCATATTAAGCTCTCCATGGTTGTTCCAGGTTGGATTTGAATGAGTTTATTAAAAGTATATCAAATAACTAACCTACATTTCTTGCTAAAATGTAGTCTTCAAGTGAACTTCAATGCTATTTCCTACATTCAAAGTTCACTGTATCAGAGAGATAAAATATGTAACTTATAAGTACTAGGAGCCTGAACAATGAAACCCTATTCATTAGCATACACAATTCAGGATTTTCCATTGAAAATGACATCTAGATGCTTGAAATGAAATAAGAAGCTTTTTTACTCGTGCTTCTGTAGGAAAAAAATGAAAATGCATATTTGTTAATATGTTGTGTTCGTAGGGAAATGCTTAGACATGGGGCATGGAACATTACTATTGTTTTCTTTTGCAAACTTACTTGGCCGCAAAGTAAATTGATAGGAATAAAAACTGTTTAATAATAAACATTAACAAATTTCAAAGTCAAATTTTGTTTGATAAATCACAATTGAATTCACCACATATTTTGAATGCATGTGATATATTTTTCTCTTCTTCATACTAGTCCCTACAGCAGCAATCATCTGCGTCGAGGTGTGCAGAATGCAGTCTCCAAACAGACAACCCAACGGAACCCTTTCCGTCCCGTAGCCCTCAGACCAAACAACCCCATCAACACCATGCTAGCAGCCAACTATGCCGGCTTCACCCGGGTCTACGTCGTCCTGCGGCCCAAGGTCTACGTCCACGAGGGTAGCACGAGGGCGATGTCCATGCTGCCGAAGATTACACGACTGCTGAGGATCAGATACCTTGTTATCGGCTCGGCTGTAGCTGGTGGAACGAGTCTCAAAATGGTTAGTAGTCATTCAGAAAGAGCTAGGCCTTTCCATGTCTTGTTGACAGCTGAATAGAATCATCATAGTCTTAATATCTTAATGATCTTAATAATAGAATCTTAAAATGTACCTGTTTAATTCAGCATCTAATTAATTGTTCTGTACTTTTTACTTGTTTTCCTTTGTTTATGATGCAGATGCTTTTATGTGATCTCTTTTTTGTGTGTTTTTGTTTGACAAGTGCGCTTTAAACATTTGATTTCAAGTGGATTCTGCACCTTACAAATCTCATATATTATTATTATTATTATTTTATGATAGTCTAGTTCAAACATATTGCAAATGCATGAAGAAGAATTTCTCTGTTATGTGGTCAAATTCATTACTATAATTATGTCATTAAACTATGTTTTATGTGTTTAATGTGAAATATTGTAGGGGAATATGAAGGGCCTCAACAAAGTCAGAATTCCCCTTGGAAAACTCTTTGCCTCTCTCTCAGGACAGGATTTGTCTTTAAAGATACTATGTCCCTTTTGCAGCCAACATCAAATTCTGTAGAACTTAGTAGGAATTATGAATATGTCATGTATGTCCTATCTGTGAAATTTAAATGTTAGCAGTGTCCTAATATTCAAATTATGCAAGGAAACCCGTTTACTTGCTAGACTTCACTGTCAGACACTATTGGGTGACTGACTGGCTTTTTCTTCATCTTTGGTAATAAAATACATAAAATGAACTGTAAAACATGAGCATTTGTCTACATAACCCACTTCTTGTAATGGCCAATTTAACGGATTGAATCTTTGCGCAGCATAAAACGCACAACCATTTGGTACAATGGTCTGAACATCAGACTATTACTTACTGGCTTTATAGCTCTGAAGTCGATTCAACAACTAATAGTTGTTATTTTTCCACTTAAAGAAATTTTAAAGAATGCCCAATAGGATAGATTTAGAGTGAAATTACTGTTTTACTTACAAAGTACATTATTCATGGACAATATGATAATTTAAAAAAAAATGTGTATTCTATTTGTTTTGTTGAATCATTTATCTCTATCATCAGACCTACAACAGTTGGAAAGAGAGCATACCGGACCTGAGTTGGGTCAATGACTACTTTCCCGACGGATCCCTAATGAGGGATATGTCCCATGAGGTGCGTCGGTTCACTGCCTACATGAAACTCCCAGAGACAGGTTGGCTCAAACGCACAGTAGAGTCTGTTAAAGGACTCATGCCTGACTTGCCTGATGGTAAATGTTTTCTAGATTAGCCCTCTTTTTCTCTAATCTATCTCGATTCATTCATTCTTAACCAAACCTCATCAAAGGACGCTTGCATACATTCACAGGCCCGAATTCAGAAAGAAGGTTTGTCGACAAATCTAGGTTTATGTGCGTCATATGATGCGTTTTGATGCGTTTCAGATCAAGGTTCAGACAAACCTTGGTCTGAAATGCGACATATGACGCACATAAACCTAGGTTTGTCGACAAACCTCCTTTGTGAATTCGGGCCCTAATGTCCATGTTCAACTAGCAAAACTACAGCTTTCTTAAAGGGAAGTCAGCTCTGATACTTATTAAGTTGGTTTTAATAGGAGCAGAGAAACGAGAGAAACAAATTAGTGAAATTGTGAGCAATATCCGATTAAAAATAAGAAAGTTATGAATGTTTAGGGTGTAATCAATCAAACACAAATTGACAACTCTGTGATGTAGCTTGCGGGGTTCAACCATACGTTCACCATAAATATAATTATTGCAAATATGTTTTATATAACCCTGTCTGAAATAAATCTATTCCGTCATCACTAACTAAGAAAATGAAAGTTTACGAAATATTCTGTACAGAGAAAATTCGAGAGGAGCTCTCAAGATACGACACAGTGTCATTCATCACTTTCCTATTTTTAATCAGATATTGCTCAAACTTTTACTAATTTGTTTCTCTCATTTTTCTTTTTAAATTAAAACCAACTTAATATCAGGGTGGACTTCCCCTTCATCTAACCAAAAGACCCTTGCATACATTCACAATTCCCATGTTCAACTAACAAATCCACAGCTTTCTTAAAGATACTATGTCCATTTTGCAGCCAACATCAAATTCTGACGAACTATTACTTAGGTGATTGCAATCACTTAAGTTGATTCGACAACTAATGTTCGTTATTTTCCCACGAAAAGCCATTTTCAAGCCCTTTCATTTTGAGGAAAGTTCTAAATTAGCATTGTCATTGAAGTGCCGTTGGAATTTAATCTTTTCTTTTTTGGCCTAGAAAAATGGGACATAGTACCTTTAAAGGCTTGTTCAGATATGGCGCAGTAACCAGCACAAAAAACACCCCCCCCCCAAAAAAAAAGAAGAAAAACGCTGTCTTTTAATGTGTATAATGAATGGCAATTGCACAAAACAAAAGGACTTGCACGTATTCACTGGGCTCTATGTTATAAGACTCAGAAATATGAAGCGTAGTACTATTTACGTCATAAAAACTGCCGCAATTTTTTTCACGTCATATGACTCGTATGTGAACAAACTCAACTCCTCCAAAGTGCTGGTTGCTACAGGTCACTACAACTGTATTGGAACCAAAGTTGATCATGATTCAAATATTGCATACAAAAAAATGTTCAATTTTAACATCCATAGTTATTATGATCATCATTGGAAGGTAATGAAATTGAAATGTATAGTGCTCATACATGTATCTGTCAGACTAGCACTCCACAATATTACCCCGGCTTTAGCATGGCTGCCATTAGAGCGCTTTAGCATTTCAAGGAATTAATATCATAAATATCATATATTTCATACAATCATATATTTCATATATATATATCATATATATCATGATGTAAAAAGAAATGAGAGAATACTTATAATGCTAGCTTACATGTAAATCAACGTTCCCCATCACTGTCCTCCCTTTTGGAAATTCTTGCAAAGGCTGAAAAAATGTCTCAGCCGTTAGTCCAGCCCGGTTCATTGGTTGAGAACGCCAATGCCTTAAAGATGAAGTTGAGTTCTGGTCATGCGATTGCATTGTGAAAGAAACGGTGTGGAATCTACCAGAAAAGGTTGATCAAGACTTTGTGTGTATTGCAAGGTTCTGGAATCATCAAAATGATCAGAAATTTGGCCAAGTCTTGGTAAAGTTACAACACTGTACACAGAAAGATGTATATGGGACTACACGAACACGTGGCGTAAAAATCCCACCCCCGAGTTTTAAGATGTTGCATGACATATTAAGAATATAAAGGCATTTGAAGAGCCATGCTTTTCAGGGAACATGTCTTATCTGATGTTCTTCCACACTTGCATAATAAGAATGATGACGCTCACAAATTATTTTTCACCTCTTCCCAGAACTCAACCTTCTTTTTAACCACTAGACCACAGAAACAGAGCAGTTGCTCCGGCAACAACAGGGACCTGTTTCACAAAGCCTTTTTTCAATGACAAATGACAAAAATCAGTGACAAATCTGTTGATAACCAATCAGAAGCAAGGATTTCAGTAGCTTATAACAAAAACTGTCAATTGTTACTGATGACAAGTTTTGTGAAATGCCCCCCAGATTTAATTGACTGACAGATCAACAAATTTTCAACCTTCATTAGTTAATTCCTTTATCAGGGTCTGGTGAGTTTTGAACATTGACAAGTTTCAAATAGATCCCCCAAAATGGTGGGGGGGGGGGGGGAAGAAAAGAAAATGTGCAAGATTGTCCCTCAGAAGATATTGTTTAAAATAGCAATTTTTTGTCATTCAGTTTCTACTCTTGAGTAATTTCTTTTACTACATGTATAGGATGTCTGTGATGAACTATATTTTGTGGTATTACTTTATATGATGTAATTGTATACTCCTATACTCCATATAGGTATCGTGTTTTGCATGAATGTTGTTATCCTATCACTGCGAATTTGATGTGCATGATATTCATATTTGTTTGGTCGGATAGTGGTGTAATCTTTTGGTCAGCGTTTTTTCATATCCACACACACCTTTCAATAGATTGCTGATTTACAGTGCGTGCAATATCTTTGTATGTATTGAGAAGTGTTCAAAAAGATATATACTCTTTGTGTTTCATTTAAACCCACATGTATACTCTGGTAAATTTGCTCATTTGGGATACCATAGTTCACCATTAGCCCGTCATACAACTTCTATACTTCACTCAATCATTTTATTTTATAATAATGAATTGTCACAGATATTATGTGCAGCTCCTTAAAATTACCTTAGCTTAAATTTTACCACCAAGCCTAGTTTTATATTTAAAAAATGGTATCAATACCAAATAACTATCATATTAGCTACTGTGCTCTATTCTCTAATGCTTGGTAGCCTAGTTGGTTCATTAATCTGTGAGAATTTGACAACAAACTAAACCAATAGTAATTACTATAATTGTACTATAATTCAGAAAGAAAATGAAACAATTTTCCACCAGATTAGCAAAAAAGAAAGCCAATTGTACCTTTGATTTTGTTTAAAAGTTATACAAGTATACCTGTTGTCTTATGTAGGATAAAGTAAGCCAGGAGAAAAATGCAGGAGAATCAAATATAAACCAAAAAAAATCCATCAAGAAATAATTAGTTCAGGCCATGGTTTACACTCCAGCTATCTGGCTGTGTAAACAGTTTTCTTCTAGCATACATGGGCTGATTTAGGCAGAGAATTTGGACTTTTTAGTAAGAAATATATACTGATTTTATAGCATATCCCAAATCATGTGAGAGTGTATATATTTTTGTCTTTATTTGTATTTGGGGGTCTTTTTTAAATATTTTGGGGTCTTTATTTATGTTATTTGTTTGTTTGTTTTGATTACTCCCTGCAGGTTCAAACCCCCAGATTCATGTTTTGGGTCAGGGTGGGCCTATACCTGTAACAAACTCTCTATTGGAAGGTGTGTATTGGTGTTGGTTATACTTTATTCATCCTGTCCCTTTTAGTTATGTCCTCTTGGGAGTGTTTCACAAAGACTAAGATCGACTTCAAGTTGGACTTAACTATGGCAGGCCATTCATGCCACTGGTTGCTCTCACTATTGGTCTCTCAATAATGATCTTTTGATAATATTTTTTCCTCCAATAATGAACTATCACAAAATGTAAATTCTGTAGATTTGTGTCCACGATTTATTTCTCCCTTTAGAAACCAATGTCAGGAATGGTTAGAGGAACTAGTGGCATGAACAGCCTGCCATAGTTAAGTCCAACTTAAAGTCGATCTTAGTCTTTGTGAAACAAACCCCATGCATGATTGCTCATTTGCTTTTGCACGTACCAGGCATGACTTACTTTTCTCATTCCATGCATGCAAGTCTATGTAGTGATGTTGTGATGATGTTAATTTACTATTCCTTTTACCATCGTGTGATCTGGTGTACATGGGATTTCAGTCTGTTGAAGACCATCATTTGTATTGTTGACTTCATTTGCCTGGTATGTCTTCTACATCACTTTGTCTAGAGTTGCTTGAATCACGGGATGAAATTGGGGGCAAATGTAGGCCAAACTTGGGGGGCTGTCAAGGCTATTCAAACAGGTGTTGGGGCTAACATGCCTCAAATTTCCTGGATTTTGAGTGAAGCTTAAAGCCAGTGCATACAGTTTACAAAATCATTCATACCCTTACCAAGTTTTATCATTTTTTGAAGTGTGTGAAAAGAATGATTTGCCCCGATTTTTGTCTCTTGAGAATGTGACTAATCAAAGCTTACAACTAAAAGGATTCAACATAGATTCTATTTCAACAAATCCACTTTTCATTATTGAGTTATAATTTTTTTACAAGGGGTATGAGTAATTCATTACATGCTTTTGTTGCTTTTCCTGTTACATTCGCTGTATTGTATCTGCACACAAAGCTGTACTGTACAATTTTTAAAATCTTATTATATCCTCAGGTTGTCTCGGGCAATAGCAAAAAAAACACTCATATTTATTCAAGGTCATGGTCATTCCTATCTAATAGACCTGCTTGTAAGCCTAAAGAAAGTAGTGCTTTTGTTAGTTGAACATGGAAATTATGAATGTATGCAAGGGTCTTTTGGAGAGGTTTGGTTAAAGGGGAAGTTCACATAGTATAAAAATATACACAGATCTCCAGAGGTGGAGTAGTCCCACTTTGTGCTTTTTAGAATAATCACTGCCAAAGTCATGGATGTGCTTCATGAATACATTTTGTTGTCTTTTGAGAAGAATACTTCCACCTGTGCTACAAAGAATGTACCATCGGTGCATAATTGAATAATGATTACATAACTTTCATGAGCACGCATCCTTCACCGTTATTCATCTTGGTGGGTTTTACAATTTTTGTAGAAATGACCTTTATCTGCCAATGCACAGGTTGTATCTACGAACTGGCTTATTCTGAAAGTGTGCTTTACACTTTCAAACAGTCCAATAAGAGAACTATTTCATAATATCAATTGAGCCTATTGGAAATTTAATGAAACATATATATCTTCAGTAGTTTAGCAAACTGTTTTGGTCTTTGCAAACTTTATGTTGACATCCTCTTCAAACCTGTAGAAAAGATATAGTTTAAATAAACCTGGAGTAGAATAGCACTGCAAGAGTGCACTTAAACTGCAAAGAACTGAAAAGTGAGGAGGAATGTTTCACTCAACCTCCAACCCAAGAGTAGATGCCATGACAGATAGTCAGATACTGATAGAATCTTAATTGAGATGTATAATGTACATGAAATATATGTAATACACACCTAGGTCCCATCTTAGAAAGAGTTGTGCTTGATCTAAATTGATTGCAAGTTCTCTCATCAATCGCAACTTTGCAGTCTCCTATCTCTTATGGACATCAATATCAATCGCAAATAAGATGCAATTAATTGCAACTGTTTGTAAGACGGGGGTCCTAATTGTAATGATGCTTGAAGTTCCTAGTATTAAAGTAGTTTTTTCCCCCGTTATATTCCTTGTTTGTTTAGGATCAGGTAGCAAGAAGGCTGGTCCCGTAATGGCGCTCAAGGCAGGAGATGCACAGGATACCTCATCAGCGTCAACTCCACCTTCAGCACAGGTAGCAATTCATTTTTATCTTAGATTAGGTCGGAGAGAAAGGACAGGGGGAAAGGAAGGAGACATAGAATGTGTAATTTTTTAATTTTTCTAATTTTTAATTTTCTAGGGGGGGGGGGGTCTTGTTTGGGTCTTTTTTATTTTTTGTTAAATGATAATAATAACTAGAAATTTAATTCGTCACGAAGACGAATAAGGTGGTCTGTCTATGTCTTATGATAGATTTGAGAATGGGAGAAGTTATATAGACATGTAAACAATGATGATCATGATGAACATGATGATGATCATGATAGTAAAGGTGATGATGATCATGATAATGAAAATGTTATATGATGATAAAAACGATAATGTTAATGATGATGATGATAATGATCATGATCATGGTGATGTTGATGATCATCATCTTCAGACCATGATGATGATGATGATGATAATGATCATGATCACGGTGATGTTGATGATCATCATCTTCAGACCATGATGATGATGATGATGGTCACATTGATGATGATGATGATAATGATGATATTGATGATGATGATGACGATGATGAGTATGAACATGATCCTGACATCTGATTGAAAAATGAGGAAATATTTAGATAGCAAATAGTCTCAGCTACAACATACTAAAATTTGGGAGAAAACTGTTGAATAATAACCGAGATACTGGTCAAAACACATTGTCATGCAGATGCATGTTTTGAAAAAAGTAACCTCCCATAGACATAACACGCAAATATGACAAATTATGCATTGTCGCCTTTAATCGAATATTTTACTATGATGACGTCATCTAAATGTTAAATAAATGAAATATTTCTGATAGAGAATTATCTCAGCTACAACATATCAAAATCTGGGAGAAAATCGATTACCGAGAAGTGAGATAATCTCAATTAAACAAAGACAAAAATGACGTCATCAACAAAATACATTTGTTTGAGTTTAGATGCCAATATGATGACTTTATTTCACTTTGTACGAGTCAGGGTGGTATGAAATCATATCTCCAACTCATGCTTTCTCTAACCATGATATAAAAATTGGGGGTCAATGGACTATCTGAAGAGCTATTTCGATTTTTAAAATGGCATGTTTTTGATCAAATTTGCACTATATTGCCCATAGCAGTACGCGCGGATTTTGAACTTTGACGCACGCTCACGGCCTTATGAAATATGAAGAGTGACTGAAATTAATGTAAATTGTCAATTACGTTAAGAGGAATCCAAATCATGTAAACAATTTGAATTTGACCTTTTCCGCGCGTTATGAGCGCGCGCAACGCGCGCGGTGACACTTACGGACGGAAAATTTTGAAATGCTTAAAATGACCTGATTCGTACTCTCGTTTAATAGTTAAGTGATTTTGAGCATTTTAAAATTTTGACGCGCGCGTACGTGCGCGTAATGACCTTTATGTAACCTTTGATGACATGCCTTGTTGACCCTTGACCTGAGGTATATGTGATATGAATATGAATGACCTTTGCTTATGCATCATGAAGATATGATGGATAACGTGATTTCACAAAATGGCGCCTGGATGACGTCACGATGACCTGATGACCTTGAAAAGGTTACTGTCACGTCTCATGACAATGACCTATGACTGTGTCGAAATTGAAAGAAATTAACACAACCGATCTTGAATTAACCGATAAACAAAAAACGGGAAGAAATAAAAATAAATAATAATAATAATAATAAATAAAGAAAGAAAATTCTGACGAAAACAATAGGTGGTCTGTTGACAACAGACCACCTAAAAAGAATGTGTGATTGTTATGTCTGTACGGCAAATGTCTTTTCCCCCATTTATTTCATGAAAAAATGAAGAATCTCCCGATATGATCACTGAAATTTACATGTATAACTCTCTTACGTTTAATCGGATACTGCTTTAACTCTCACTAATTTTTTTCTCTTGTTTTTCTACTTTTATTAACACCAGTTAACTTTCAGAGTAGATTTAAGTTGAAAAAACATGAAAATCCACAGCCTTGACCAAGACAAGTCATTGAATTATGGAAAATATTTTGTATTAATTTTGTTTGTTTGTTTTTTTCTGGTTTAGGAAAGTCAGAAGGAGAGGGATGAACTTGAGAAAATCAAAGAAGAATTTCTTGAGGCACAGGTAATGCTCGCATCAAGTTTGAGTTCTCTGTTGTTTAACTTTAAAACATGTCATGCTTCTTTCAAACTTAATGTATCAGTTGTATGGCTGATTTCATGAGTGGTGTGATAAAATCAGCAATGTTTCACAATCCTATATATCATATTTTCATATTTTATATTCATTATCATTCATTTTGTATGGTATAGTTTATGTAAAAGTCAAATTTTTCATGATTTTAACAGAAAAATATTTACTCTGTATTGATGTTTGTATATGCTAATTTGTTATTATCAACAAAATATAATGGTTGAATGAAGGCCTATGTTGAATACTTTTAGACGTAAGCTTTGATATATCGCATTCTCTCAAAAAACATTACAAAACTTAGTATGAGTATGAATAGTCTAGTTGTTAACTTTATATATTCACACTAATATCATGTGGTCTTTGTCAATACAGCTAAGATACCAGAGAGAGATTGACAGACTAGACAAGGAGAATAAGAGACTGAAGAAATCCTTGCTAAGCAAAGGAGATAAGAATGCTTTCGGGAGGAAAGATAAGGTAAGTCATTGAATGGATAGACACATGAATGCAAAGACCAATATAAGAATATATATGAGAAAAAAAATATGTGGAGAATTCCACATACTTAGGTTGGATAAAAAATCTGAAGTGCACCAATCTCCAAAAAAATATTTTGTTCTGTATGTTAGTAGTTCCATGTCGTAACACTTAACATTACTTCTTTAAAGCCCCACTGCACTACTTATAGCTACTTGCACCCTCTATATAGCTAACAATGCCTAATAGGTGACCATTGGTCCCCCATGGTCCCCTTTTTCTTATGTTCATTGAGAGCTGATTGGATGAGATAACCACCTGTCAGTGACCATGCAGGGAGGTCTAATCCCTCCTGGCCAAAAAAAGTGCAGAGGGGCTTTAAAGGGATTTTGGAAATTTGAATACACTCTGAATTAACATAAAAGCGACATGTGAGTAGACTACTAATTGCACCCATACACGCTCGCTTCACTAGGGCTCGAATGGAACCAAAGTCTGTCTTGCGTCCATGTGAGCATTTTTATGTTTTACTTTAATTTCTTCGTATTTGTAATCTGTTAGACCATTGAATGCCAGATTATTTTTTTTTAAGGTTGATTTTATTCATACTAGTTGTACACAAATCATTTTTTTAGGTGATTTGGTACACTGCAATGCAATTTACCAGAGCGATCCTTGATGAAAATTTGAATGAAGACAAATTAATCTGATAAATCCTAAAGAAATAGATAACCTGATTACTGAACCTTCAACTTTTTGAACCTCTTTGCCATTAGATCATTTATCTATCTTATAAATGTGTGATATTAAAGTGATTTCTATGATTGATTTGTTTGCAGAAATCACTGATTGACATGTACTCTGAGGTGCTGGACGAGCTCTCTGACTTTGATACCACCTACAAGATGCAGGATCATCTACCAAGGGTATAGAAACATGATGATGGTGGTGATGGTGGTGGTGGTGGTGGTGGTGGTGATGGTGGTAGTGGTGGTGGTAGTGGTGGTGGTGGTGATAATGATGATGGTAGTGATGGTGTTGATGATGGTGATGATGATGGTGATGGTGACGGTGATAGTGGTGGTGGTGATGATGATGGTGATGGTGATGATGGTGATGATGGTGATGATGATGGTGATGGTGATGATGGTGATGATGATGATGATGGTGGTGTTGATGGTGATGGTGATGGTGGTGGGGTTGATGATGGTGATGGTGGTGGTGTTGATGATGGTGATGATGGTGATGGTGATAATGATGGTGGTGGTGGTGGTGGTGATGGTGATGGTGGTGATGGTGATGATGGTGGTGATAATGATGATGACGATGATGGTGATGATGGTGATGATAATGATGGTTATGGTGATGATAATGATTGTGATGGTGATGATGATGATGATGGTGATGATGATGATGATGATGATGATGGTGATGGTGATGATGATGATGATGATGATGACGATAGACTGTCAAGGAAGTATAAAGGAAAAATGATAAAAAGACAACTTTCCTTTCCATGTAATGAAATCGGGTTATCTGTCATGCTATTGGTTACTTTATGGAATATTCATATATATTTATTATGTCTTTATTTATCCTTTCATAACAAATATCTTCCACGTTTTGCAGGTGGTAGTTGTAGGAGACCAGAGTGCAGGTAAAACCAGCGTTCTAGAGATGATTGCCCAGGCCAGAATATTCCCCAGGTAAGAAGAAGGCTTGAACTTATTATGAAGTTGTGCATTCAAGTTTTTTCATTAGAGGTTTGATCCTGTCTTACATACTGTCTTTCCATGGTGTTAATGGCATAAAAACAACCTTTTGCTGTTTAAATAGATACTAGTCATCTATTCCTTTAATTGGTGTACACATACCTTCGTACATGTACATATACATATTTGATTATCAGTTATGTTATTGCAGTTGTTTTCCCGCATATTACTCTTATATGAAATCCAGACATACAGTTTTCATCTTTATTTGTAATTATTATTATTATTAGTAGTAGTAGTAGTAGTTGTGTTGTGTTGTGGTCTAGTGGATAAGTCACCCGACTGCAGATCACAAGGTTCGGGGTTCAAGTCGTGCTGCGGCACTAATGTCCTTTGGCAAGACGTTGATCTACTTTCTCCACCCAGGTGTAAATTGGTATCTGATATGCTTGAGCGCTAGTTACTTTGTCAGCTCGGCTATGTCAGAGCCTGACGGATACTGGTGTTATATAAATAACCATATTATTTATTATTATTATAACTATTATTCTAATTTGTTATTATTATTATTATCATTGTTATCACTATTATCATTATATATATACCATTTGTGATGTTTTGTAACCAGGGGAGCAGGTCAGATGATGACCAGAGCACCTGTGAAGGTGACCTTGAGTGAAGGTCCTAATCACATAGCACAGTTCAAGGACAGTGGCAAGGAGTTTGACCTAACCAAGGAATCAGAGGTATGTATATCACCATTATATCATTACTTTTAGATGCATTATGTTCTCGGGTTGGCCATCTATCCATCCCGCTTTCTAATTAAAGTGACTCAGTAACATTGCCTCACATTCTGAAACAAAATCCTGGATTAAGCTCATGTTGCAATCATAAATATAAAGCTTTAGGTCAGTCAGGAATCCAATGACTTTTACAAGCCGATCGCCTGTCTCATTATCAAGAAAGATATGATTGGAAATCGAAATTTCATTTCTCATTTTCCATCAGTATATTGGGGAAAATGGGTATGGTAAAGCCGGTCACTCAGAGATTTTTACTTTTTTGAGGCACTTCATTATCATCTTGAAGTGCAATTTTTTGAGGGCTTCAATATTACACCATATCACAGACACTGATAACACGTAGGGCCATGCATCTCAACAATGCCTTTAATGCAATATCTACAATGATCCAGTGCGATGCTTTGTCCCATTCCCATCTGTCCTTGCGGCAAATGTTGATACTGAACCACATCACTCTGGCAGTTATGGATGATATGAAATACAGTTAAACCTGTCTATAAAGGCCACTCAAGGGAAACAGAAATGTGGCCAAATAGTTGGCCTTTCCAAACAGGTTCTACAACACACGTTTGTTATGAAAGGGAGACAAAATGCATAGCCATAATGGACAATGGCCTTTATAGGGAGATGGCCACTAGACAGGTTTGACTGTATACAATAAAATCATGACTCTAATTGGTTTTTGTCTCTTGCAGTTGAAAGCACTAAGACAGGAGATAGAAGCCAGGATGAAAGGAAGTGTCAAGGAGGGGCAGACCATTAGTCCTGAGGTAAGTCAACATTTTCATTTATTTCGGGTTATTGAAAGAAAATGTTGTGTTGCTGAAATCTTCACAAACATTCCACGTTTGCTAAATTTTTAGGCTGTAAAATAGTTGAATCTCAACAAAGTATTGTACAATTTGGACAAAATTATTCCAATAAAACAGTTGTGATCATTTTCATTCATTTTGGGTGATGGAAAGAAAATCCTTAACATCGCCCTGTCATGTTCATACCCTACCCTACTAAGGGATTGCAGTCTAGCAATAAATAGTTAAGTAATATTGACTGCCTTCTGGGCAATACGACATATATCGCCCGAACCGAAGGTGAGGGTGATATATGACAAGTCGTATTGCCCTGAATTAGGCAGTCAATATTACTATTATTAACCACATCAGACATCTAGAGCAAACAAGAAACTCTTACTATCTTATACTCTTAAATTATGTAGGCTACACAGGGTTTCCTAGCATTAGAAGTTGCAAAAACATTGTCAAACCAGCACTGTTCATCCAGTGTTTGACAGATTTTCGATACACTGCAAACAGTTTGCCTAGGGTGTGATTATTACGTCACAATAGAGTTCGCGCAAAGTGCGCATTTTCTTATACACGATGTGCGATGTAAATTACAACTGGCACTTTATTATTGCTCACTAGTTTAACACGCATTTTGCCATTGACTTTTCAGAGCGGGCTAAAATATTTGTCCATTGACTTACTGTATAACCTATATTGCCCGCCAAATTACACACAAATCCCATTGACTGTTCTGAGCGGGCTAAAATATTTGCGCATTGGTTTACTGTATAACCTATATTGCCCGCCAAATTACACACAAAATCCCATTGACTTTTCTGAGCGGACTAACTTATTGTAATTTTGTTGACTTATCCATCAAACCTTGAGGGCAATAACATTTAAAAATTGCCCTGCTCAGATGTCTGATACGGTTAATAGTGATCTTTATCTTCATTCAGTGTTTGAAAGATTGGAAATTTAGTGACAATATGAACATTCATGAACAGTGATCACATTCACTGTATGTCACTTGAGGATATGATATTACTCAATCATGAGTCAATGCATAATTTTATTCACATTTATCTGGTAATAGCAAGCACTGTTGCTAACTAAGCTTGCAGCTTATCAGGCAAAGGCTTATTGAAATTTTTTTAATGATTGTGAAGTTGTAACTAATTTTCAAATGTTGCCTTGTGTTTTGATTATTTTCCAGGTTATATCACTGAGTGTACGAGGCCCAGGGATACAGAGGATGGTTCTTGTTGATCTACCAGGGATGATCAGTGTGAGTATGAAAGGTCCTGGTTATGGAGCCTTGTTGTATAACCACAGTTTCTAGTAGGTCAATATTTTTATGCCTCCGTTACAAAGTAGCTGGAGGCATTATGTTTTCGGGTTGTCCGTACAGACGTACGTACATCTGTACGTCCCGTTCTCGTGATCGCGTTATCTCAAGAACCAACTGATGGTTTCCTACCAAACTTTGGTCATGTATGTAACTTGCAGAGTCAATGAATTGAGTAGATTTTGGGGTCACGAGGTCAAAGGTCACAGGGCTCATTATGTATGCTAAAATAGCTCGTGATTGCCTGATCTCAAGAACTGATGGATGGATTCCTGGTAAAACAAAGTACCAAAATTTATAATGATGGGCTCTTAACTTTGCTAGATATTGAAAAGCAGTTGTGTGATAACTCCAAATAATGATGACGACCCACATGTATTGTCCATGTATATCTAAATTTTTGCATGCAAAAAGCAAAACAAATGATTATATGAATGCTTCATTTTACAAGTGTTTTCCCCCTATTTTGTACAGACTGTAACTACAGGCATGGCAGCAGACACCAAGACCTCTATTCAGAAGATGATCAACGGTTACATGGGCAACCCGAATGCTATCATACTCTGTATACAAGGTCAGTTCTACTGTTTTCCCCTCTTGCGTTTAGCAAAAGCTTTCATGGAATTCTGTACTCCAAGGTATTAGTGTTAAAGGAATTGGGTATCTTTGCCCCAGATTCTAAAAAAAATCCTGGATTTAGCTCATGCTGCAATCATAATTATAATCTTTAGGTCAGTCAGGAATCCCATGGCGTTTAGAAGCCGATCGCCTGTCTGATTATCAAGATATTTATGATTAGAATTCTACACTACAGTATTTTGGGGAAAATGAGTATGGTAAAACCAGTCACTCAAAGGATTTTTACTTCTTTGAGACACTTCATGATTATTTTGGAGCGCTATTTTTTTTAGGGCTTCAATATTAAACTATATCACAGACAATGATAGGACCATGCATCTCAGATTTGTGAAACTGGAAACATTTTTAAATGATGCCTTTAAGACTTGCATGGAATTCTGTACTCCAAGGTATTAGTGTTTCAACTGCTTCGTTACGTGTACTTCTAAATTTGAAATTGATTTTGAAAGGTTAAACAAATATTGACATGGTATTATCTATTTTTGTTCAGATGGTGCCATCGATGCTGAGCGTAGTATAGTGACTGATCTCGTCAATGAGATAGATCCAACAGGAAAGAGGACCATCTTTGTGCTGACTAAAGTAGACCTGGCAGAGAAGAACCATCTCAACCCAAACAGGGTGAGTTGTAAAGGCTTGCTCACATTTTAATTATGATAATAATGTTAATATACAGTCAAACCTGTCTACAGCAACCGCCCAAAGGGAAACATAAAAAAGTGGTCTTTGTAGACAGGTGTTCTTTGTAGACAGGTTCCTTTAGTACATTTTCAAGGGAAACAAAAAATGTGCTTGTTGTAGAAAGGTGGTCTTTGTAGACAGGTGGTCACTAAAGCAGGTTTGACTGTATCTTGTTAACCCAAGGTAGCCCCATCAGTATTAAAGGTAGGTTAAAAAATATGAGTTGTAAGCAGCCCTGCACATCAACAGGATCAACATATATTTGGATGTCACCCAACCTTTACTATTTTCTTTGAGAGACCTGCAATCATATTATTAATTTGGCTTCTATATTATTGACAATGATATTGATTTTATCTGACTGATGAGAAACCATGTGTATGCTAGTAAGTAAGCAACCAGAGGACTGACGGCTTTAAGTCCTCTCTGATGGACCTAGTAATGAGGAATCCACTTGAAATCAAATGCCCAGTGTGCACTTTTGATACAAAAAAGAAGAAGAGAGAGAGATCGCATAAAAGCATCTGCATCATAATCAAAGGACCAGAAGTAAGTTAGAAAATTCAAAAATGATAGAACAATTAAACAGATATATGTTTTAAGAATTTTTTTTAACAATTGATTTAATATTAAGCACAAACCATCACAGCACCCTTTCACTTTGTCTTTGCATCTTAGTTTCCATGTTGTTTTGCAGGAAATATGAGCAAAATATTCTTATTATTCTTAATACATTTATTTTCTCCTAAATTTTGCAGATAAGGCAAATCCTTGATGGCCGTCTCTTTCCTATGAAGGCTTTGGGGTATTTTGCAGTTGTCACAGGAAAAGGTATTTTTGATACGTCTGTTCCTGAACGGCCTTGTTCCTAGAGAATAGAAAATGATCATGAACAAGCTTAAAATTGTATGAGAAGAATTGTTATTTTACAGGAAAGTAATACAAACCTTGATAATCATTTCATGTCAAACGATAGTAGAAGTAACATATTTTTGGTAAAATAGTTGCTTGGTGTACATGTACTTCATGTTGACCCCATTAAATTGTTTTAAAGGTACTATGTCCCTTTTGCAGCCAACCTCAAATTCTGTAGAACTTTGCAGGAATTATGAATATGTCGTGTATGTCCTGTCTGTGAAATTTAAACGTTAGCAGTGTCCTCATATTCAAATTATGCAAGGAAACCCGTTTACTTGCTAGACTTCACTGTCAGACACTATTGAGTGACTGACTGGCCTTTTTTCTTCTTTGGTAAAAACATACATGAAAAGAGTTGCAAAGGGTACATGAGCATTTGTCTACATCAATAACCCACTTCCTGTGATGGCCAAGATTAAACTGATTGAATCTTTGCGCAGCATAAAAGGTATGACCATTCGGTACAATCGTCTAAAAATCAAGACTATTACTTTTGGGCTCTATAGCCCTAAAGTCGATTTGACGACTAATAGTCGATATTTTCCCACTTGAAGACATTTTCAAGCCCCACCTTTTTTAGGGAAGTTCTAAATTAGTATTATCTTTCAAATGCAGTTGGAATTTAACTTTTTCATTTTTTTGGCCTGCAAATGGGACATAGTACCTTTAATTTGATGATGGATGACTCTGATCATTCTCAGGGTTATTCATTTTATGACAATACACTTGATGGTTGACTGAAATAAACGAGAATGAGAAGAAGAATGAAAAGAACTACAGCTTAAAAACAGATTGATACAGGTTTCACATTGTAAATGAGGATAGTTTGCAAACACCTATCCTTGGCCCTGTTTCATAAAACTTGTTATCAATAACAAGATACAATAATTGTTATAAGCTACTGAAATCCTTACACTTGATTGGCTATGAGCAGATTTGTCATAGATCTGTCACACTTGTTATTGATAATAAGTTTTATGAAACAGGGTCCTGTATACCAGTGTTCAGGGAGGCATTTCACAAAGCCTTTTTTCAATGACATATGACAAAATTCAGTGATAAATCTGCTGATAACCAATCAGAAGCAAGGATTTCAGTAGCTTATAACAAAAACTGTCATCTGTCACAGATGACAAGTTTTGTGAAACGCCCCCCCCCCCCAGGATTTGTTTGTCACAGGGACGGGATGGAGGATCTTCAAGCCTAACTGGGGATAGAACAAGTTATTATAGATAATGTTTCTACTTATGTTTGAGCAGCATGTTTAATTATTTTCCAATCTACAGTTCCCTCTGAATTAAATTGCATTCTTGAATAATTCATTTCTTGTAAAGGTGGACATTTTAGTCACTTGTGTTGTTTCTTTCTTCCATTTTAGGCAATACAAGTGACAGTATAGACAGCATTAAGCAATATGAGGAGCAGTTCTTCAGACATTCAGCATTATTCAAGTAAGAGTCTCTATTCACTTTATTGAAATACATTGATTTTTTGTTTGAAAAAAAAGAAGAAAAGAAAGGGAAACAAAATACAGAGCATAGGTTTTCACAGATAGATAGATACCCTGGTATGTTGTTTTTGTTTTGCATTTCCTTTCTCTCCTTACGCCACATTGAGACATGTTTGCGATATAGATCTGCCATAGTTAAGAAATATATATATAAATTTAACAGAAAAATAGCATTTCGGAGCTCATTGCATACTTTGTGGATTAATTGCTTCAATTATTGTCGCAATCCATGTAGATCAATTTTTGTTTAAAGAAATTAAAATAGAATGCAATAACTTTAGAAAGTCAATGGAAAGTCATGGAATTTGGTTCTCAATTTTTATTTTGATGATGGAATTTTTTTCCTTCCATACAGGGGTAGTATAGAAACATATTTGCAATAATTATATTAAGGATCGATGCATGTAATTTAAAAAAAAGTTATCTTGATTTTTTTAGTACAGAGCAAATCGGAGGGGGAGCTTGAAAGATACGTCACAGAGTTGCCAATTTGTGTTTGATTGATCGCAACTGTTCCTCTCATTTTTTCTGCCTCTATTAAAACCAACTTAATATCAGGGTGGACTTCCCCTTTAAAGTTAAATGATTTTCCTATTGTGTTTGTAGGTCAGGTGTCTTTAAGCCATCTCAACTGAATACCCAGAACCTTAGCTTTGCTGTCTCGGATTGCTTCTGGAAGATGGTTAGAGAGTCGGTGGAACAACAGGCAGATGTCTATAGAGGTATGGTCAGCCCTTCCATAACCTCTTAAAGCCGCACTGCACTACTTAAAGCTACTTGCGCCCTCTATATAGCAAACAATGCCTAAACGGTGACCATTGTTCCCTCATGGTCCCCTTTTTCTTATGTTAATTGAGAGCTGATTTGATGAGATAACCACGTGTCAGTGACCATGCAGGGAGGTCTATCCTTCCTGGCCAAACTAGTGCAGATAGGCTTTAAGTCTTAGCTTGCTTTAATGAATTCATTGATCTCCACTTTGTTTATACAGTGAAACCTGTCTATAAAGACAAAAAAGTTGTCTTTATAGGCAGGTGGTCCCTTTTCGTACATGATTCAATGAGAAACCATGTTCAAGGGAAACAAAAAATGTAGTCTCTGTAGACATTTTGGGTTGAAATGCACTATATAATATACAATTATTATTATTATTATTCTATATTTGGATATTGGACCCTTCATTTCCAGGAATGTTTCATTGACTACCTAGCTATTGTATTCCTCCATACATCCTAAATACAAACCATCTTTCTTTCTAACATGTTAGTTACCAACATAGTGAACATTTGAATTTCAAACCCTTCTGCAGTTAAATTAACAGTTTAATACAAATGTACATGTATGCTCCTTCATTGTTTCCTCAAAGTTATTTGAACTAAAATGCATAGGTAATAAATTCATAGATTCTCATTCCACAAATTTTTACAGTTTTTTTCAAAGGTCTTTGCTTATGTGAATGTTCCATTTAACTAACTGAGATGTTGATGTTTGACTGCTCATGTTGATTGTGTTTCCAGCTTCCAGATACAACTTGGAGACAGAGTGGAAGAACACGTTCCCTAGGTTACGAGAATTGGACAGGGTAAGTTTTATTCTGATCTCATGCAAATATCAGGATCAAAGATTAGGTCTATAATTTAAAATAAGAAAAAATACAAATTAGCAGCAACATGCTTTACTTAAAGGTAAAGACCAGTATTGGAAACGCCCCAATTTCAAAAAATGAAATGGAAGCTCTCATTACCAATCATGTGAAAGAATATGTTTTGACTAATACATGATGATAACAAATTTGCTGGGAAACCGCCTACTAATTCATATATTTGGTAAATTTGTTTCTCTTGTGGTCTGTGAGAGATATAGGGTAGTCCCATATACATCTTTCTGTGTATAGTGCTTGTAACTTTACGAAGAATGGACCAAATTTCTTATCATTTTGATGATTCCAGAACCTTGCAGATGCTACATGATCAACCTTTTCTGATCGATTCCACAACCTTTCTTTCACAATGCAATCGCATGACCATAACTGGTCTTTACCTTTAAAGATTATTTGTGTACTGAGTATAAGTCACTATTTTGAAGATTTTACAAAGCAGGGCTCTATTTCATAAAACTTGTTATCAATAACAAGACACAGTATTTTTTATAAGCAACTGAAATCAGTGCATTTGACTGGCTGAGAGCAAATTTTTGATAGAATTTCATCATTTTTTTAATTGATGTGAAGTATTATGAAACAGGGCCCAGGTTTTGGAAAGAACAGACCATACATATCCAAAGAGGTTGCTGTAAAACCAGAAAATATCGTAAACCATTAATGACAGTAATTTTCTGCTATTTTCGCCAATTGCAGAATTCCATAAGTTTCATAAGTTGTTCAATTTCTGTCAAATTTTCACCAACATCTGATTTTCTGTGTGCTTGCACTCAAGTGAATTTTGTTCTTTGCTAAAAAGGTTGCATTTCAATTCATACAAATAATTAACAAGTCTTTTTTTTAATTGTTTTTTTATTTGTCTCTGCAGGACGAGCTCTTTGAGAGAGCAAAGAGCGAGATGTTGGATGAAGTCATGAGTCTGAACGAGATCAAGCCCAAACAATGGTCAGTAGAAATATTACCAAGCTGTGGTCAATACTAATAATACTAAGCCTAAGTAGTGGGCGGTAGAAATATTACTAGGCAGTGGTCAGAAATATTACAAAGCAGTGGTCAGTAAAAATATTACTAACCATTGGTCAGTAGAAATATTACTAAGCAGTGGTCAGTAGAATTATTATTAAGCTTAAACAGTGGTCAGAAATATTACATAGTAGTGGTCAGTAGAATTATCACTGAGCAGTGGTCAGTAGCAATATTACTAAGCAGTGATCAGTAGAAATATTACTAAGCATTGGTCAGGAGAAATATTACTAAGCGTTGAACAGTAGAAATATTACTAAGCAATGGTCAGTAGAAAAATTACTTATCAGTGGTCAGTAGATATAAATATTAAGCAGTGGTCAGTAGGATTATTATTAGGCTTAAGCAGTGGTCAGAAATATTACTAAGCTTTGTTCAGTGCAAAATAGTAATTAGTAGTGGTCATTAATAATATTTGGTTAGTTGCAATATGACTAAGCATTGGTTAGTATACATATTACTAAGCAGTGGTCAGAAATATTGCTAAGCTTTGGTCAGTGCAAAATAGTAATTAGTAGTGGTCATTAATAATATTTGGTTAGTTGCAATATTACTAAGCATTGGTTAGTATAAATATTACTAAGGAGTGGTCAGAAATGTTACAAAGTATTGGTCAGTATAAATATTACTAAGCATTGGTCAGTAGAAAAAATTACTGAGCAGTGGTCAGTAGAAATATTGGTAAGCATTGGTCAGAAATATAACAGAGTAGTGGTCAGTAGAAATATTACTAAGCATTGGTCAGTAGAAATATTACTAAGCACTTGTCAGTAGAAAAATTACTTAGCAGTGGTCAGTAGATATAAGTATTATTAAGCAGTGGTCAGTAAAATTATTATTAAGCTTAAGCAGTGGTCAGAAATATTACTAAGCTTTGGTCAGTGCAAATATTACTAAGCAGTGGTCAGTCAAATGTTACTAAGCATTGGTCAAGGGAAATATTACAAGTATTGGTCAGTAAAAATGTTACTAAGCAGTGGTCTGTAGAAATATTACAAAGCAGTGGTCAGTAGAAATATTACTAAGCATTGGTCAGTAAAAATATGACTAAGCATTGGTCTGTAGAAATACGACTGAGCATTGGTCAGCAGAACAATTATTTAGTATAATATGTCAGTAGACATATTACTAAGCTTCTGTCAGTTCAAATACTCATATGCAGTGGTCATTACTAATCTGTGGTTATTATAAATATTACTTAGCATTGGTCAGTAGAAACATTGCTAAGCATTGGTCAGTAGAAATATTATTAAGCAGTGGTCAGAAATACTACTAAGCTTACGGAGTCATCATTAAATACATTTTTGTTTACATTTTGTTATGATTTTGTCAACTTTATAAACTTTTGAAATTTTATAGATACACTCAAGTCAAGTGAAAATTTGTTTCAATAATTCAGGTACATAAAGCAATCCAATGTTATTTTTTTGACATTTGACCTTTGACCTACAGGGAAGAGACACTATCGAAGCTTCTATGGGAAGGTGTATCTAGTCACGTCTTTGAAGGAATCTACCTCCCAGCCTCTCAAACATTAGATGCAGGGTGAGTTCCTGGCCTGTTGAAGCATTTTTCTAGATATTTTTATATGAATTCTCCACCTTTAATCTCAACTTAAAGTCATTGTGTAACAATGGTAAATCAGAGATGCATGGCCCTACATGTAATCAGTGTTTGTGGTATGGTGTAATATTGAAGCCCTAAAAAATTGCGCTTTAAAATGATCATGAAGTGCCTCCAAAAGGTAAAAATCTTTGAGTGACCGGTTTTACCTTACTCATTTTCCCCAATATACTGTAGTGTTAGAAAAACCTTTAGGAAAACAAATTCTGACATCTCTAATTCAAATCATACGTATCTTGATAATCAGAGTGACAGACAGGCGATTGGCTTGTAAAAGTCATGGGATACATGTATAACCTAAAGGTTTATAATTATGATTGCAGCATGAGCTGATGCATTATGGAGAGCCATTTGTAGCCTAAAAATAAAATATATTCAAAAACAAAAATTCTAGTATTTTAAACTTTTCATAAATTCCACATCAAGTACATGAAATCTCCTTGATAAAAGAAAATATGAATGATTAGAATCAACATTTTACTGCCTTTAAAAAAAAACTTTTACAAAATATTTTCAAAGATGCTTACAGCTTTCCATAACTGTAAAGTCCAACTTAGAGATAAGTTCAATGTAACATCTTTGTGAAACACCCCCCTGAACCCACAAACCTGATCAACCATATGATGAAATTATTCATCTTTTCTCGTAGAACGGACAAGCAAATCACATATACCCATAATACTTATATGTTACACTTGCATGTAGCTTTTGGAAACTCAAAATATATTTCTGTGTCCTGAAATAATGAGTATTTTCACCATATTCGCTCCTGAATTTGAAAAATTATAAAAATATGTGATGAAATTGATGTATCGTATTTCAGAGCTTTTAACACCATCATTGACATCAAACTCAAGGAATGGGCTGAGAAGGTGCTGCCAAAGACGAGTATTGAGGTATGTACATAAATCTTTTCTACCAGGTATGATACTCAACATAATGTATCAGGGCAAATCCAATCAATACAGTCCTATACGTTACCCATCACATGTAAGATTTGGGAGTGTCTAACAATTGTATTGAGTAGATAGCCGAAGTAGGGCTTTGAGTTTGATCAGACTGAAATCAAATAAAGTTTTTACTTTAGAAGTGAATTCATGTTCAAAGTTTCATACTTGGTTGTTGATGTATGCGACACCAAACGACCATTAATTAATATATCTATGTAGCTATACTGTTGCGCTAAGCAATCTGGAGGTGTCATGGTATAGTGGTTCATTCACCTGAATCTCAATCCAAGGGTTAAGGGTTCGAATCCCAGCCCGACACTACTGTCCCGTTGCAAAACAGTAATCCGCATTTGCCAGTCTTTACCCAGGTAGTTGGGTACCTGGCAATTTGTGGGGGTAATAGTGATTGCAGGTCCCGAACAGCATTAAAGGTAAAGACCAGTTATGGTCATGCGATTGCATTGTGAAAGAAACGTTGTGGAATCGATCAGAAAAGGTTGATCATCTAGCATCTAGCATCTGCAAGGTTCTGGAATCATCAAAATGATAAGAAATTTGGCCCATTCTTCGCAAAGTTACAAGCACTATACACAGAAAGATGTATATGGGACTACCCTACATCTCTCACAGACCATGAGAGAAACAAATTTACCAAATATATGAATTAGTAGGCGGTTTCCCGGCAAATTTGTTATCATCATGTATTAGTCAAAACATATTCTTTCACATGATTGGTAATGAGAGCTTCCATTTAATTTTTTGAAATTGGGGCGTTTCCAATACTGGTCTTTACCTTTAATACTAATGAGGCGTCCGTGGGTTGTTGAGGAATACATGTACTCTTAATTTGTTAAATAGAGTAACACCCCCCTGGATAAACAAAATCATTCTTGTTCTTATTGATATCTGATGTTGGGATTTATGTTGATAGGTTGGAAGGAATACACTTTTTGAGGAATACTCTAAACTTGTTGAGAAAAGTAAGAGTGATAATGATAACAGGGCCCTGTTGAAGAACAGCATTGATGCTGATGAGGCGTCCATGGGTAAACAAAACTATTATTATTGTTGATATCTGATATTGCCATTTATTTTGATAGGTTGGAAGCAACACACTTGTTGAGGAATACTCCAAGCTTGTTGAGAAGAATAACAGTGATAATGGTTACAGGGCCTTTACGAAGAAGCAGCATTGATGCTGATGAGGCCTCCTTGAGTAAACAAAATCAATATTATCAATATCTGATATTGCAATTTATTTTGATAGGTTGGAAGCAACACACTTGTTGAGGAATACTCTAAGCTTGTCGAGAAGAGTAAGAGTAAGAAGGATCACGACACCATCTTTGACGATCTCAAGACTGCTGTGAAGGTGGAGAGTATCAACAGACATCAATGGATGGAGAGAGCCGTGGAAAACTTGGTAAGAAAGCTCTACAAATTGGTGATCAAAAGTAGCAAAACATATTAGTCCAGTCACTCTATACCGGTAATAAGGAATGGTGATTACAAATAGGGATTTGGACAATGGTGATGAAGATTTGACGATTGTCATAACCTTGAAGGTGATGATGATGAAGCAGATTTTGTTGGTGATAATGGGGAGGGTCATTGTGGAGATGATGGGTGATGGAGATAATTAAATTTTAATGGTTTCTAGGGCAAATACCCTTTGACTTAAATCCCTGAACTACGACTGTATAACTACTTCCTTGACTAATACCCTCATTAAACAACTACTGCATCAAGCAATTATCCCTCTCCCCAAGATGACTTCCATAGAGTTGTAAAAGAGGTAATTTGGGTAATGATATTACATGTACATGTATTAGGAACTTGTTTGGGAGAGGGGGTAGTCTGGGCGATTGTCAGGATAGTAAATGTCTTCGCAAAATATGTCATTTGGGATATATCACTGTAGTTATATGTGTGGATTGGAGGAGAAATATTTATTTCCGGAATAATCATTCCAGGAAGGTAGTTGGTCATGAATTGTGTTTAAAAGTTTAGTTGTAGGGGGGGGGGGGGGATGTAGGCTCTGGTAGACACATCCGGATTCTATAAAACAGTGTTTTAGTGATAGTGGTTTGCTGAGAATGAAGACCAAGACACTGCTGATATGTAAGCGAGGTTTGCGGTTACGCCACATATTCTTTTGACAGGGTTAGGTGGCCCTGAGAATGAGTGTGTATGGTTGGATAGGTACAACCTATTAAAACGTTACGATAGAGCTTTAGTGGGCCCTTCTCAGGACCAACTAACCCTGTTGAAAGAATATGTGGTGTAACCACAAGAGTCACTCGAATCTCTCCTCACTATGGCAGCCTTAAAAGATAGCACTGCTGATAGTTACAATGCAATAATGATGATATTCTCTTCCCTGTTGTTGATGGCATGCTTGAGACTTTAGTTTTCTTTTTCAGAATTCAGAGACTGATTCTTTTTTTCTTTTTCTTCTTTCTGAACTCAGAAAGTGATTCAGTTCAATGCCCTTGAGGATAGATCTGTTCCTGATAGGAGGCAGTGGGACCAAGCTATCTCATTCATGGAGACCATGATCAAGCAGAGACTCTCAGCAAGTATGACATCTATCATTCAACTTTTAATTCTTTTAAAGATAAACTTGAGTTCTGGTTAAAAAAAAGAAAATGAATTCTCACAGAATCAAACAAAACTTACACTGAATGTTCAAGTTTACAAATAAATGTCATGTGCCAAATAATTTTGGAAGAAAATGTATACTGACTGAGTAATGAGCATATAAAGATAAGGAAATCAAGGTAAGCTAGCCCCGAAACCATTTGTGTAGTCCCATATCCATCTTTCTGTGTACAGTGCTTTTTACTTTACCAAGACTGGGCTAAATTTATTATGATTTTGATGACTCCAGAACCTTGCAGTGCACACCAATACTTAATGCTACATGATCAACGTTTTCTGATTCATTCCACACCTTTTCTTTCACAATACAATCGCATTACCAGAACTCAACTTTATCTTTAATATTTAACATTCTAAAGAAACTAAATTTTTTCTCTTGAGTTTTCTCTATCACGTTTAAGCCTGATTGCATTTATATTAATAAGCCACCCAAAAGAAGTAGCATTTACACTGCAAGCATAATTCATCAATTTTTCTCTCATTCTGGGGGGTGTTTCACAAAACTTGTCCTCAGTGACAAATGACAGTTTTTGTTATAAGCTACTGAAATCCTTGCTTCTGATTGGTTGTCAACAGATTTGTCACTGATTTTTTCATTTGTCATTGAAAAAAGGCTTTGTGAAACGGGTCCCTGGTGTTTCGTCAGAAGTTGCTAAGCAACTAGGGCCTTTGTTTAATTCTTTTAATTCTCTAAATATTTAACATTCTCAAGAAACATAAATTTTGACAAATCGATTTATGACATACTTAAAATATTACAAAATTTGGTAAGGATATGAATTATTTAGTTGTAAACTGTATTATTTGTCGCCCTCATGTGTTATGAATGCATATTATGATTCTCATTTTAGCTGATAAAGAAATACAGAAGCTGATAGGACCAGGCTCGACAGAGAGATGGGTCTACTGGAAGAGAATTAGTCAGGACGAGGTAAGTGAGATGGATTATAAGATGATAACGTGGATCTTAATCAAATGATTGGTTGAGAGCGTACACATGACCAGGCATTTATTTTGCCTAACACGTAATATTGATAATGACCGGTCATTATCAAATGCTAATGACCAGTCATTAGTAAAATCTTGTTATAAAACATCATTTTATAAAACAAATAAAACACAAACTTATCAAACAAATAATACACATCATTTTGTTTGGGCATTGGTGCTATAAGTGCTGTGGTAAAACTAATCCTTATATCAAAAGTAATTGTAATTAGAAGATTAAAATCAAAGGGATTCAATGGGCTTGTCCCCTACCATATCATCTTGCTTTCCATAACTGTTTGGACTGATTTTTCAGCATGTATTTTCAGAAGTCAAGTAGGATTTTACCAGATAACTTCACATGGACCCCTGCCTCCCTCAACGGAACAAAAAGTCATGTCATTATTATTTTTCATATACACATGGGTGTAGCCAACAATTCAGAAATGTATCAGAATTCTTAGTTTGTAAAATGTAATTTTGCAATGGTAAGAAGCTTCTGAGCCCAGTTTCATGAAACCGGTTATCAATAACAAGTTACAATAACTGTTATAAGCTACTGAAATTGTGGCATCTGATTGGTAGAGAGCTAATTGGTCTTATTATTGAAGCACTTGTTATTGATAACAAGTTTTATGAAACAGGGTCCTGTTTTGAATTTCGTTGATTGTTATTTTGTCTTCTTTCTCTACAGACTAACAGGAGACTAGCAAAGGAAGAACTAGAAAAACTACTACAAGCTGCAGGGGTAAGAAATAGTCGACACACCTTTATTCATTAGAATGATTAAGGAGTAATGCAAGAAAAAAGGATACTGACAGGAAAAATTGAGGTAACGATTTCAAATGGAGACAGAGCATCAAATTATATATTTCAACTAATATGCTGTACTTGATTTAAGCAGGAAATGAAATATTTTTGTATTCCGATATGGCTAGATCTTCCATGAGTTCAAACATTCTAAGACGGCCTGCAGTTACCATTCAAAATGATTTTATATGGGTGTCACAGAGAGAAGTAGGCTTAGAAGAGTCACCCATTGTGCTTGTTATCAATAACAAGTTACAATAACTGTTATAAGTTACCGAAATCATGGCATTTGATTGGCTGAGAGCAAATTTGGCATAGAAATTTTGCATTCGTTATTGATAACACGTTTTATGGAACAAGTCCCATGTTTCATGCCATTCATTATTCCAAGTGAAGTGACATATTTTGTTCATACTTGTTGTTTCACAGAATCATATACCAGAGTTGACTGAGGATGAGCAAACCACTGTCAAGAAGAATCTACAGACGAAAGGAGTAGACGTAGATAACCATCTAGTAAGTTCTATCATCTCAAAATAGTCTTTCAGAGCAGGGGAAAAATTAATATTTATTTTTCGGGGGCTACCTTTCAAGCTTGCCTGCATGAAATTAACACTCTAAAATTTGTTTTGCATTGAACTCTATGCAAATTTGCAAGGGCTCTTTTCTGATTTCTGGGTGCTCTTTCGGGCATTTCAGGGGCTATTTCGCCCCGAGCCCCTGTGTATTCTTTTCACTGTTTCAGAGAATGGGGAGTTCTTCTTCTTCTTCTTTTTCTTATTATTCTTCCTCTTATTATTCTTCCTCTTATTTTTCTTGCTCCTCCTCCTCGTCTTCTTTTTCTTTGCGTGTCGACAACTCGACATACTTGTTCGTCCTTGTGGAGACAGGGGCGAGGGTTTTGTGATCATGAACTGAAAATGATCTATGTTTGATATATTTTAACATTTTGGATTTAAAATTGAATTGATATTGCAGAAGAGTTGCATATTGGACACTGATAGCCATAATTTTTCTGTGAGTGGGTGAGTGGGCGCATTTTAGGGGCCAACTAACCCTGTTGAAAGAAAATATGTGGTGTGCCCTAACTGCAAACCTCGGTCAAATCTGTTCTCCCCATGGAAGCCTTCAAAGATTACAATGGTCATGATCATTTGTCCTATCTTTGACCACTCAGATTCAGGAGACGTGGTACCCTCTATTCAGGAAACATTTCATGCACCGATCCCTCCATCTTGCCAACAATTGTCGGAAGGGATTCTATCACTATCAACAAGGACTCAATGATTCAGGGGTAAGTCACTGATCAAGGAGAATAAAATCATCATTGTCGTCATATATGATGATGTGTATTATAATATTTATAGTATTTATTTGGACATACCATCATACAAGAATGTTTTTGAAAGACCCTTAACGGGAAAGTCCACCCTGAAATTAAGTTAATTTTAATAGGAGTAGAAAAATGAGAGAAACAAGTCAGTGAAAGTTTGAGCAAATTCCGATTAAAAATAAGGAAGTTAGGATTTTTTAAGTTGTGATCAATCAAACACAAATTGGCAACTCTATGACGTATCATGCGAGCTCAACTTCCATTTGCTCAGTACTAAAAAAGTCTAAAAATTTCATTTTCCCTCAAGAAAAATTTCAACCATACATGCACCCTAAATATAATAATTGCAAATATGTTTCTATACTCCCCCTGCAAGGAACAAATATATATTCAGTCATCAATAACGAAGAAAACATGATTTTATGGAATATTATGCACAAAGCAAATGAAGGAGAGCTCGTATGATAAGTCACAGAGTTGCCAATTTGTATTTGATTGATCACAACTTCAATAATTCATAACTTTCTTATTTTCATTCAGAATTTGCTCAAACTTTCACTCACCTGATTTTCTTATTATTCTGCCTCTATCGAAACAAACTTATTTTGGGGGTGGACTTTCCCTTTAAGAGAGCAAGCAAGCACATATTACTTTTTCAAAATTTAGGAAAGTTTCACAGGAGGGTCATCCTTTTTTTTCTTTTGAGGTACCGTAAATCTCTGTGTACAAGATGCACTTATTTCCGCCAGAAAAATTTGAAAGTCGGGGGTGCATCTTATAGACAGGTAAGGATATTTTGAGCCTTCAAAATGCTACATTTTAGTGGTTTTCGACCATCTCTGTGTCTCAACATAGATACATAATGTGTATAAAGAATATGCATTATGAAAATGGCGTAGTCTTATGTGATCTTCATTATGTTTTTTTTTTTATTTCATCATTTTTCAGATTGAATGCCATGATATTGTACTGTTCTGGAGGATGCAGCGGATGTTGGAGCTGACGAGTAACGTCTTGAGACAACAGATCATGAACACAGAAGGTGGGTCCGATTCTCTTTCATCTGACTAGGTTCAAAGGTTTACTGCCCATTTAGTCTAATTTCTAGTTGGTCTAATCCCCAGTTTGTCTACTATCCATATGGTCTAATAATCATTTGATGATAATTTCACTCCGTGAGTCTAATTCGAAGAGACTCATTGAGAGTCCGCTTCGCCCATGTGCACTCATTAACGCTTAGTCGCCATTTTGAAAAAGTTTTCCGGTGAATTACTTCAATAAACTGTAAACTTATTATGTTTGTTTCCTTTGGGAACATATTTAGAGCTTTTTGGTCCTTTTTTGAGAAATTATCTACACTTTCGTCATGGCCTCGAAACCCGCAGAGTTAGCCGGCAGAGCCATGGACCCTGACCCGGAACGTCTTCCCTCTACTCCCTCATGAAATTAAACTCAAACTTCAAATTTATCGTTTGAGCTTTCAATTATTATTTATGATTACATGATTATTAGACCATATGGAGAGTAGAACAAAATGGGCATTAGAGAAACTGTTAATTAGATAGACTGAAAATTTGATTAAATGGGCAATACACTTATAGGAGATTAGACCAAATGGCTATTAGCCTAAATGGTAATTAGACCAAATGAGAAGTAGACGAAATGATTATTAGACTGTGGATGGTAGACGGGCTGGGTGTAGACCATATGGGAATAGATTATTTGAGTAGTAAACGACCAGGTTGCAGACCAGAACAGCAATTCACCGATTCCAAGTTTGGAAGAAACCACAGAAAGGTCATTCCACGGGGCTGGGGCACTTTGCATGACATACCGGAAGTGAGAAACTATGTCCCCCATCAACAATAACAATGTTTACTCAAATTTATATTAGGGTGAAATAGCACAGCCAAATACGTTCAGAAGTACTCTAGCTTCATGGTAATTCAATATTATAGACCCAAAGTACTATCTTTTAGTAATAAAATATTTTGTCTTCATGTTCACCATATTAGAAAGTAGATTGAGCATAGCGTTAATATCTGTCATGATGTGATGTTCATGGTGCTTCCACAGTATTACCCTAGTAAGATATGAGCCGCTAAAGTAAATGATGCTCAAACATATCAGGTACCCATCTACACCTGGGTGGAGAGTGGCAAATGTACATTAAAGCGGGACTGCACTACTTGTAGCTACTCACGCCATCTATATACATGTAGCAAACAATGCCAAATCGGTGGCTGTTGGTCCCCCATGTCCTCTTTTTCTTGAGCTTATTTGATGAGATAACCACCTGTCATTGACCACGCAGGGAGGTCTAATTCCATTTGGCCAAACTAGTGCAGACAGGTTTTAAAGTGTTGGCAAGGGACGTTAGTGCCAAGCTGGGACTTATACTCTCAGCCTCATGATTGAAAGTTAAGTGAATGAACATCTATACCACCACACCTCTCCATATTAAAGTGAATAATCATTTTTGTTGACAATACTATAGTATTGCCCTTTGTGACCGACCCCAAAATCTTGAAATTTAAGGTCAGCTTTTAATTTTTTTGATTTTTTTGATTTTTTTTGTTGATTTTTTTGATTTTTTTTTTTTTTTTTTAAGAGGAAAAAATTATTAACGCATTCAAAACTGAAAAATATCAGCTCCAAGAGGGAGAAGAAGAAGGAAAAAAAAAGTTTTAAAAAAAAACGCTTTCTTTTGGCACCTAAAGGGCAATACAACATCTTTTTTTTAGGCCTACCGGTAAGCAGATAATTACTGATTTTTATTATTTTTGTTTACGATAATGTAGCAAGGAGACTGAGCAAAGAAGTAAAGGAAGTCTTGGACGACTTTGGAGATGATAGGTCAACAAAGGTCAAACTACTAACTGGCAGGAGAGTGGATCTAGCTGAAGAACTGAGTGAGTTTCATTCTCTGTATCTTTCATTCATTTCATTCATTTGTCCGAGGTACATTTGACATCAACAATTATTATTATTATTATGAATGTGGCATCATCTGTGTCAAGAAGTGAAAATAGCGAAGTGTAACTATAACACTATAACCTGCTGGTCTCTCATCCTGATGTTGCAGGGCTCTGGTCTTATAAACAATTTCGATTAATCACAACTTTTAACATATGAGATTGGAGACTGTAAACTTGCGATTGATTGGAGGACATGCGATTGATTGGAGGACTTGCGATTGACTTGTATCAAGTGCCACTATTTATAAGACGGGGCCCTGGTTTGGATGTGCAAGTGTACCACAGCGTTGTAGTGCCTTGATGCTCGGTCTTGGCATTAAGGCGCCTCAAGTCTATTTCTTCCATGCAGTGGCCTTAGTCTTGGCCTTAGTCTTGGCATTGGCCTTGCTAGTCAATGTCTTGGCCTTGAGGGTTTGGGCTTTGACTACAACACTGGGATACCTTGCCCCCAAGGTTTCGGCTCACTCTTTTTTAAAGAGTGCAGTAGGTTCTCATCCAGCTAACAATAGAAGTTGCAAACTGATTCAACCAAGGACGCAGGTTCGAATCTGAGTCACGTCTTTCGTATGGTGATGTTAAAGGTCGGTCCCCAGGCATAAATAGTCATACCTGATTGATAAACGTCTGTACAAACCCAATTACACATACACACACACAGTCACTGTGCATAGGTTGTGATATAATGATGAAATAACTATCATGAACATGTATCCAGCAGTCATCTCGATGGGTGTTACAGTATGTACAATTGACCTGTACTTGCCCATGCGCAATGCATTGACTACCATCTCATCAAGTACTTTGATTGTATACAGCTTCAAAATATGACCCAATCAACTTTGGTTTGTGAGGAATATATCAATCATGTATTTTACTTGAAAGGCATCATCCAGTGGATAAAACTCTTCTTGGATGGTTTTTTATCTTCTTCTTCCATTTTGAGTACAGACCTCTTTACAGAGAATTATCGTACTATACATGTGAGTATAGAAGGTATGATGAATCACAGAATAGAATTGTATTCGTTTGTGCACAAGTACTAATATTTTCATTCACTCCTGATGATGGACACTTGATTCTCAGTCCTTTTCAGGACTTCTCAATCAACACGAAAAGAATACAAACAGTCCTACTGTACTGCAAATATACTCTCTAAGTTATCCTCTCGCCATGCAAACCTGTAGTTCCAAATAAAAATACTTCAAATTTCATATTGTTTTTAACATCTCAGTATCATTATTGCTGTGATATGTTTGAAACAAAATGAAGGAACATGTTAAATATTTTGACAAAATTGTTACCGGTACTTTGAACTTTCTCTCCTCATTACAAACCTGAATATCACACTGCAACACAGACGAATATCACCCTTTTTTCGATGATAAATATTTATCTTGACTTTTTTTCTTCATTCATTTAATGCTTGTAATCATGACCCTTCAATCTTTCCAGCCTTGCTTATTGTTTAATTAGAGGATACTCTTGAATACATCTTCATTAATAGGTCATTTTTGCAAGACCAGTTCCATAACAAAACAAAAGAGTTTTTCTTCACCGCAGAGAATTCAGGGGAATTTTCCCACGCCATGGTGACTGGCTTTCCGAATCACCTCAAAAACCCAACATGATCCGCCTTGTATCTGGAAATTGATTCGACCTTCATGGCGTCTTCTCTCCTGTATTTGATGAAGCCATGGCAATTCAACAGCATTAGATCTACTCTATTAAGTTTCTTCTATTGTAATTTCTCCATAGCCGTGCACATTTAAGCCAGCTAAGTGGGGGAATAGAATGATTTTATTGTTGACCTCGCTGGCTCATGAGTCCATTGATTCGTAAGACTGTCTTTTCCGGTAATGAGGGAGGGTGGGGTAGGGGCCGGGAGGGGCGAAGGGGAGGGGGGGGGGGGTGAGGAACAGGGAGTGGAAGGAGGGAGAAGGGAGTAGATTACAAAAATACAAAAGATTGTTAAGTACATGAGTAGGAAAATAACATAGAAAATGTATGGAATAGCAGTGTAGCTTTATCTAATGGGCCATTTTATCAGATTAAGAGGTGATTGTTACTCAAGTAATTCCTTTTTTTGCTACCAATATTATTACATGTACTGCCTGTAATTGTTAAACATATTTAAACCGTTTTAAGGTACCTGCTATGAAGATGGTAGGAGAGAATAGAGATAGAAAAGAAAATGCAGAGATTAGTGGCACATAGAGACAGAGATATGTGGAGAGGGTATAGAGAGAGAGAGAGAGAGAGAGAGAGAGAGAGAGAGAGAGAGAGAGAGGGGGGGATTTGAAAGAAAGATAGAGAGGGAGAGATTATGGAGAAATTAGCAGCACATAGAGACATAGAAATGTAGAGATAGTAGAGAGGGGGAAAGTCAGATGATTAGAGAGAGAGAGAGTGAGAGAAATTATAGAGAGAGAAAGAAAAAGAGAGAAAGACGGTGACAAGAGGAGAGGAAAAATGTTTGAAATGTTTGAGATCATGATGAGTCACTCCTTACATTGTATTGAATAAAAGCTGACACCAAGAGTGTCTGTAAACCTAATTTAAACTGACTTTCACGATTATTATTTTAGATTCCATACAGGGGACATCCCTCCATGTTTTATGATTTAAACCACTTACCTATGGGCAAGGACAACAAAGTCTAAATAAAACTCATGTTTTCCTTTTTCTTTTCACGCGACAATAGAAACAAGTGAACGAATCCAGCTTTAAATGTCCGAATAGGTCACTTTTTACACGTTTAGCAAGTTTCCTCATTTAGCTTGAAGGGCATAACAATTTTCGATGATTGACCAATTAGTTAAGTGGCCTGATACAAGGTTGATTTGATGCCCATGAAAAGAAAGATTGGGGTGATAATCTGAAGGGAGGTGAGCACAGCCATTTTTATTACATGTACATTAGAGAAAACATTTATTATTGAGTTGTTTGATAAACTCTGCTGAGGTGCAAATGAGGATGAATCAGAAACCATTTAAAATGATTGTGAGAAGAAATAAAATGAAGTCTGTGAAAGGTATAGTCAAGGCTTATGTGATTACTATAAAATGTTCTAAAATGATTTCTCTGTACATTTAGACAGGCTTCCACCTCAATGCTAATGTGTTGATATGTTCATCCTCGTGTATATTGTTATAATAAGAGAATTCAGTTGTTAGCCTTGTTAAACTTGTATATTTCTTTAGGTTTTACTTTAAAATGTGTTTTCTATATGCATTTAGACGGCCTTCTACCACAAAGATAATGTGTAGATATGTTAATTCTTTTGCTTTTTTAATTGTTTTTAATGATAAGTTAATTCAATTAACAGTCTTGATGGACTTGTATATACCCCCCCCCCCCCACCCCCCGCCCCATCTGCATTATAGGCCTACCCGGTATGTGTAGTGCTAGAAGTATTAGTAGCATGTTTTATTTTGGAATACATCTTCATCCTCTTTCTCCTTCTCTTTCTCTCTCTCTATATCTCCCTCTCCATCTCCATCTGCATCTCCCTCCCCCTCTCTCTCTCTCTCTCTCTCTCTCTCTCTTACTATCTCTCCCTCCCTCTATTCCCTTCTTTGTATCTGTGTTGTTCAATGACATCCTTATTTCTCCCAAGCTGCTTGTATTCTCTGTACAGTTAGGCAATTTACAGATAATTTTTTTGTTTTATGGAGTTAGGCAAGTATCATTATAATACCAATAGCCCAACTCAGTAGGGTTAGGCAAAAGGAAGTGCACATGAACGATTGAGCAGAGAAGACACTGTACAGTTAGGCAGTTGACGTACAGTTAACAACTAAATTATTCATACCCTTGCCAAGTTTTGTAAATTTCAAGTATGTGAACAATTTATTTGTCCCAATTCAATTTTCTGAAGAATGTGATATACTAAATCTTATATCTAAAAGTATTCAACAAAAGCCCTAATTCAACCAGTCCACCTGTCATTCATGAGTTGTGAAATACACACAAAAATCAACCAATTTACAAGGGTATGAATAATTTAAGTAGAATAACTGTATATCAGTTTGATTTTCAAATTTATAGATTAATCTGCTCAAGCATTTATTCAAAACACCTCCATTGCATGTTACTTAAAATATACCCATTCAATGGTATCATTTTTCAATTTAAAAAAACAAAGACAAAACAAATCATTGGGTGAGTTTAAAAAAAAAAGTAGTTTTATTGGGCTTCTTGAGATCTGCTTTCCAAGTCATCTATGAAGTCATATTTCAATCAGTTTACCCCTAACCCACAGTCTATGGAGAATTATTGATTTAACCTTTCTTGAAATGTGGAATAAATAGTTTGAGTATGATTAATACCAAACAAAGGTGCAGTCTCTACGGCCCAAATCCTTTGAAGCGAGGGGTAACTGTTGCCCCACTTCCATCCAAATATTACAAACACTGACCTATTTATCGGACTCTGCAATAATCAGAGTGACTTCTAAATAATGAAAATCAGAAATACTCGTGATTGTTTTCTGAGAAGAGAGAGGCCAGAGTTATTTTTCAGCTAGAAAAGCAAGATGGATGAGTGGAAACCAAAATTTCATTTAGAAATTTGGGAGCCTTATTTGCTAACTTCCTGAGAGCCGTTCTTGCAACAATTTTGGTGAAAAGGTGGTTGGAGATATTCCACTGATTCCAGTAAGAAAATCCTCATGTATGTATCTTAAAGGGATTGGGTATCTTTGCCTCAGATTCTAAACAAAATCCTGGATTTAGCTCATGTTGCAATCATAATTTTAAACCTTTTACAAGCCAATCGCCTGTCTGATTATCAAGATATCTTTGATTGGAAATCGAGAATTCAAAAATTGTTTTCCTTAACGGTTTTTATAACACTACCGTCTACTGGGTAAAATGAGTATGGTAAAACCGGTCACTCAAAGATTTTTGCTTTTATGAGACACTTCATGATCCCTTTGAAGCGCAATTTTTAAGGCTTCAATATTACACCATATCACAGACACTGGTAACACGTA